GATAAATAGACCCTTTGCTAAAAGTTAAGGGTCTTTGTCTACCTTAACTCTGGCCCACTCCTCCCTTGGAGTGTATTCATATAAACCTGCCTTTGTCTACCTTGACTTTGGCCCACTCCTCTGGAGTGTACTCAAATAAAACTTTCCCTCTGCTTCGCTATTGTGTCTCTGTGTCTTGCCAATGGGTTTCAGCCCCAGGCAGGTTCGCTATGGATTCAATGTGACCAAAGAAAATTGACAGCAGAACGCTCTTTGTGGTGAAAGGGTTATACCCAGCTTTATTTTCAGGTGGCAGGTCAGTTACTAGAATCCCATTCACTCAGAGCGAGTTTGTATGCAGCAAGCCGGTCTCTCCCTCTGGGCCCCTCTGTCTGCACAGCTGTCCTCTGGGCTTCTCTGCACAGCCGTCCCACACAGCCGTCCTCTGGGCCTCTCTGCAGTTGTCCTGCACAGCCATCCTCTGGACCTCGGTCCTCGGCGCTGCCACCACTCCAGCCTCTGCTCTGCTCTCCTGCAGCCTTGCAGCCCTGCCACCGTGTTGTGCCCAGAGTACTGGGCGGAGCTCTTTTTATAGAGTCAACAGCCATGTATTGCCCACAGGTGTGCAGTGAGCTAGTCAACCACAGCCAGGTGAGAATCCTGGCCACAGGAACTCTCATTTTATCCACACTCCACCCCTCCAGGATTCTCTCCTCTCAATCTATGTGCCCTTAGTCCTCTGCAATGGTCCCTGTGCAGGGAAGCTGGAACATTGTTCTCCAGCCTCTCCAGCAAAAAGTCCTGCAGACACACAGGCTGGACTCGTGGCTCTGTCTCTGACCTCTGCATCTTTGGTCTTAATGGCTGGAGCTACTGCTCTGGTTTCAGTTGTTGACATAGCTCCAGTAAGATCCTATTTGGCTTCCCATCTAATTTCCTTCCATGTACTCCTGCCCGCATCAAATCAACCCACATCTGGGTCCTTGTAACTCACACAGGGCCCCTCAAATTCCTTCTGTGAGTAACAGGTCCTATTTCTTTCCGGGTTCTCATTGCTTCAGCTACTGTACGTGTCACCTCGCATTTTGTAATCACTGCCTCAAGGCAGGCTGCACTGTCAGGGAAGACAGCTTTCCCATCTCTGATCCTGACAGAACAATTCCATCCACCCCTAAGTCCCACAGCCCCCGGCTCAGCCTGAGTATAGGGGAGGACCACAGAGTGCTCCCCGACCTGGGGAGGGGGCTGCTCCTCTTCTTGGGGAACTTTCAGCTGCTGGGTCTTTATTTTCTTTACAACCACTGGACATGCTTTCAATACAGGAGGGGCCAGTGTCTCCAGCACCACCCCTTTGTCCTTCCCCAGCTCCTCCATTTCTGGGGTTGATGGCACTTTTCTCTCCACTCCCCCAAGTGCCTCCTCTGCTACAGTGCCTCGCAGTAATGCCAGTTCAGTCTTCAGAAGGTCTCTTACCTTCAGCCCAATGCTTCACAGATGATGTTCTCATGCCACCTCCGCCTGTGCTTCCCTCAGGAGTTTGTCCTTTTCCTTGATGGTCTCTTCTTCCTTCAGAATGCCTGGCAGTGCTGCCGTCTCGTCTCCAATGGCACCTTGCTGCCGGCACTCCCGTGCTGCCTCCTCCCGCATCAATGCCATCTCCTTCCTCAGGGAATCCACAGAGGTTTGTAACTCGTGTTCTCATGCTGCCATTTCTTGGGTCTCCTCTGTATACTTTTTTAATACTGTGAGAAGCAGCCAACCCACAGTCCCCACTGCCTCCTGGGCACTCTGCTTCTCAAAGATCTGCTTACTATACCAAGGGCCACCCCTACTGCTCAGGTGTCACCTCCACTTGCCTCCAGTCCTGGGGTGGAGCCCAGTCCTCTAGGAGGCAAGCCACCTCAGACCACATACCCATTGGGAGATGATCCACTGTCTCCCCATTCACAGGGGCAGCCTGCTGAAGCACCCCTCCCATAAAGGCAGCTTGTCTTTTTCCTTGGTCAACAGTGAACCCTGCCGACTTTTGCCAATTGTCTTGCCAATGGATTTCAGCCCCAGGTAAGTTCGCTATGGATTCAATTTGACCAAAGAAAATTGACAGCAGAATGCTCTTTGTGGTGAAAGGGTTACACCCAGCTTTATTTCCAGGTGGCAGGTCAGTCACTAGAATCCCATTCACTAAGAGCGAGTCTGTATGCAGCAAGCCTGTCCCTGCCTCTGGGCTCCTCCATCCGCACAGCCGTCCCACACAGCCGTCCTCTGGGCCTCTCTGCCTGCACAGTCATCCCGCACAGCCGTCCTCTGGGCCTCGGTCCTCAGCGCTGCCACCACTCCAGCCTCTGCTCTGATCTCCTGCAGCCTTGAAGCCCTACCACCCTGTCGTGCTCAGAGTATTGGGCGGAGCTCTTTTTATAGTCAACAGCCATGTATTGCCCACAGATGTGCAGTGAGCTAGTCAACCACAGCCAGGAGAGAATCCTGGCCACAGGAACTCTCATTTTATCCACACTCTGCCTTTCAATTTTTGTTGCAGTGGGGATAAGAATGGAGAACTCAAACTGTAACAATTCTGACCCTGTCTGCCCAGGACAGCATGGTGCCCACAGGTGACAGGATCAGCCCCATGGGACTGCCCCCACTGCAGACGCCCAGCCCAAGTCCAGGATGTCACCGTGCTGCTGCCCAACCAGCTGGAGATCAGAGGTTCCCACAACCCCTTTCTGGGTTTCATTAATCCACTAGAGCAGCTCACAGAGCACTTTCCTTACTAGGTTAATGAGAACCCTGTTGCTCACTACATCACTAGTTCATCATCAAAGGGGGCCTCAGGAACAACCACATGGGAGACACACACTAGACCCAGCTATGGGAAGGGGTACAGAGCTGTGTGCCCTCTCTGGGGGCACCCCTCTCCCCAAACACCCACGTGGTCCCCAGCCTGGAAGCTCTCTAAACCCTGTTCTTCTGCGTTTGTGGAGGTTCCATTAGTAGACCATTAGCAAATGACTCAACCTCCAGCACCCTCCCCTCCCTGGTAGTCAGGGGTGGGACTGAAAGTTCCAACCCTCTAACACCACAGAGGGTCCCTAGGCCACCCCTCTACCCCATCCTTAGGGGCTTTCCAAGTTCACCTCATTAACATGAACTCAGGTGTGGCCGATGGGTGGGGGTGGAGCTTGTCAGGAGTATCAAGACACCTGTGTGGCTCTCATCACAGGAAACCCTAGTACTCTTGGGGAGGGGACAGATCAAATATACAATTCTTATGATTAATCACATCACAGATGCAATTATCTCATTCTACCTCATTCTTGGACAATGAGTTGTTTTTCTCTCTGTACTGTCGTTGGCCCTCCCCTAGAATATTGCTCTTCCCTCCCCTTCTGAGGCTCCACCCACACCCATCCCACACTCACCACCTCCTACCACCTCCAGGTTTCCCTGAGGTCCTTCCTGCCAGGCTTTCTCCAGAACCATTTCGAGAGATCACATGCTTCCCAAGTCCTCAGGAATTGGTCCCTGGACTCCTTCAAAAAGCATATTTATTTCGAGAGGCTCTTTGGTTCTTTGTCAAACCTGTCTGATCATTTTAGAGTTTCTTGCTTATTATTTAAATTCCTTATTTTATATTTTTAAATATATTCAATATACTTATTTCATGTGTCTGGTTACTTCAACATCTGAAAACTTGTGTTTGATTCTTCTGCTTTTCTGCTGACTCTTGTTTCTTTGGGCATTAAATGAGTGTTTCAGGGTTTTTTTAGTTAACAAAGCAGATACATACTTTTAACTTTTCTCTGTGAGGCCAGAACAGGATGAGGTTTAGGCAGAAAGTTTACACCCATATTTGCCAAGCTCCTAGAAACACTACCACCTGAGGCTATTTCTTTTTTTAACTATGACTGTCCCCTGGGGGTCATGTGCACCACGTGGCCTGCTTACAGCAAAGAGCTGGAGACTTCTGGGGGCACCAGTGTGTCTATTAGGCCAACTTGGTTTGTCCTACAAAGGAAGCACTTCTGCTATGTGGCAGCTTCCGTTCAAAATCAGGGAGAACATGGAATGCATATTCATTTGGATCTGAACCAAACACTCCAAGGTCCTGGTTGCCTGGGCCATAAGGACACATATGGGAGGCAAGGCCCGCGAGGTGGCCTCTCCCCAGGAAGCTGCCCACCCCGGGTGCCTAGCTAGCTTGCTCCTGGACTCATGGCCCCCACCCCATGGCTCTACTCACACTGGTGGGCTCTGACACCACCTGAACACTGCTGCCAACTCTGGGTGCCCATGGAAGCCCAGGCCTGTAACTCGAAGCCAGGACACTGGCCACAGGAGCACACCCACCTACTGCAGGGGCCATTGTAAGGTTGGTTTCCACTAATTCATCCCAGGGTGTGAGAGGCCACCAGTGCATGCCTGCTCCTCGATCATCCTCCCCTGCCAGCAGTGAGGGGTTAACACCTCAGCTCGGGAGTTGTGGTGAGAGGCCTCAGACTGCTGAGGCTGGAGGCCCTGGTTCCTCCATCGGTATGGGGCCCCTAGTCCTTTGTTCATTCCTGGCCGGGTGTTCACCCCAGGCAACACCTGCCTCAGTTCTGGGTGGGGTGGGGGTGGGGTAGTCAGACTCATCTGGCTGTTTCTCTGCTGCAGGGGCTGCCACCCCATGTCACCACCAACTCCAGTCCCTCTTTCTGCCACTGCCCACCCCTACCCCTCCTGCAGCTCCCCACCTCTCCCCGCTGCATCCCCGCAGTCTCTGGGAGGGGGACCTGCCTTGGTGGCCCTAGGACGTACCCTCCATTCCAGCTGGGTGGGCCTGGATGCCTCTTCCCGGGCCACAGACCACAGCTGCCCACTGTCCTGGCCTCTTGCCTCCTTGTCCACCCAGCAAGCTGCGAACTTTGCTAGATACTTTATCAGTGGCTTGGGCTTCTCAGGAAGACCCTGTCCAGGTGACTAGTCTACCCAAAACCAATCCCAGGGGCTTCCCCCAAAACGAAAGCAGAGTTCTGCAGGGCCACTTGTGGTTCACACTTTAATAGCATTGGGGCACCAAGGGGGACAGCTGTCCCCTCAAGAGTCACCATGCAGCAGGGGGACAGAAACCAGCAGTTAGAGGGAGTGAGGTAACATCTTCCTGTAAGGACATAGCTGCTTCTGGAAACAGCAGCAAAAAAGCAAGTGGAAGATCCTGTCCACACCCTGGGCCGCTGTCCAGGGCACCCGCCCTGCCTCTCCCCACCACACTCACAAGGGATCCATGGGGCCCAAGCTGTGGAGCCCGCGTGGAGCACACAGCAGCACTGGAGGATGGTGAGTGAGGCTCATGTCACCAAGGACCCCCCCGCAGGGCCAGTGGTGGCATTCCCGGAGCCCACCTGCCCACCTGCCGACCGAGCAGCCTCCTGACCACCTGCCATGGTAGGCTGATCGAGGACAAGGCCCGGGATGGCCGGCCTTATGGTGGGCAAACGACCCTCAGGCCTACATTTGTGACCTTATCCAAGAACCTGCTCAGAGCTTGGCTCTGCACGGTGGCAAGTGGGCCCCCTTTAAACAGAGGTCCTCCTGGGCACCCTAGATGTTCTGGGGCCTACGGGCACGGGGCACCCAGGGCTACTTGGTGGTCATGGGCCACCAATCCGGCACAAATGCGGTGAGGGTCACCCGGCCACCCTCAGGGGTTCTGACATGGAGAGGGCCCCTGGCCTGCTCCGAGCGCAGCAGGGCCAACCCCACGTCCCCAAGGCCTGCTCTGTACTTGCCAGCTGCCTGCCCTGACTCCGTGAACACTGAAGCGCCAGGGGCCAGGCTGTGGGCAGGGAGTAGTCCAGTGAGCTGCACCGGGAAAAGGCGCTTGCGCACCACACCCATGTGGTGAGTGCGCGCGGTCAGCTCCTGGCCAATGTAGCAGCCTTTGGTGAAGCTGACGCCGTTCATGAAGGCCAGGTTCGACTCCAGGGGCAGTGCCACTCCCGGTGGCAGGTCCTGGACACCCTCGGGAATACCTGTGGTGGCGGGACAGGGGAAGGGGGGAAGGGAAAGGGGATCACAGGCGGAAACACATAAGGGCTGTAGCACCTCTCCCTCCCACCAGATCCCCCCTTCTACAGGCCCCTCTCGCAGGAACCCCCTGCTGTGGTCCCCTCCTCCCATCAGACACCCCCTGCCGGGCCCTCTCACAGGATCCCCTTCCTCCACACCCCCTCCCGGGACACCCCCTCCTCTGGGCCCCTCCTCCTCCCGATGTCTGTCCTCTGACTCCAGGCCGGCCCTCGGTCTGGCCTTCTGTGCTACTCCTACAATAGATGAGCCCTGCCCTCGCCCTCCCACCTGTCTCCACAGCAGAGATTCCCTGGGGCTCTACGCTGGCGCCCTCCTGCCCCCTGCCTAGTCCTGCACCCATACCGTGTCGGTACCGGTGCCGGTGATAATCCCGGACATCCCCAAGCCGGCCCCCGGGCACCAGGGTAGGGCCCTCGTCCTGGGCAAGGAGCCGCCAGCCCATGCAGGCAGTCCGCGGGTCGCGCGTGAGGATGGCAGCACCCTGGGCCTGCTCCCACAGCACTGCAGCCCCATTGGCCTCCTCTGGTACATCAGGCAGCACAGCCCACACACGCAGCTCAGGGTGCAACTCCACTGTGACCTCCCGCCGGATTCTGTACAGCGCCAGATGGCTCTGCAGTGCACCCAGCACACCACTGTCACACTCCAGGAGGAAGGCGGGTGCCTGGTCGGAAGGTGCGGGGACCCTGAAGGAAAAGGCAGGGCTGTATGGGTGCACTGAGAGACAAGGACAGGCGCAGCAGGAGTGGAGAGGAAGGGCGAGGGGGCAGGGGTGGGGGAGGCTGAGGGGTGCTTGGAAAAGAGGAAGGCACACAGGGGCGTGGGGTTGTGTGGGTGTGGGACACATGGGCGCCTACAAGGGTGTGGGGGTGCATGGAGAGGAGGGGTAGGAGGGTGGCACACGGGTGCAGAGGGTAGCGGGTGAGAGGACATGGAGAGGCGGGGGCTAACCGGGGCATTGGGAATGCACGGAGAGGAGGAGAGCAGACGGTTGGGTGGGGAGGCAGGGGCTTACACAGAGGTAGGGAGAGAGGAGGAGGCTAGCGGAGGAGGGTACTGGGGGTGTGGGGGTTGAACGGAGAGGCAAGGAAGCACAGGGTGCATAGGGTGAGGGGTGCATGGTGCACAAACAGGAGGGGGTCACACACGGCAGGAGCGAGGGGAGGCATGGATGTGTGAGGAGGTGGGGGGGCACACATGGGGCACACCAACCCCAGAACCTAGACCTCTGGGCACTGAACCTGCACTCTGTGGGCACTGCACTGGAACCCCAGGACCACTGTAGGACAACCCCCCAGGCACTGGCAGAGCCACACACAGGCCAGGAGCATCACCCCAAAAGGGCAGAAAGGAGAAGGAGCAGTCCACTTTGTGGAGAGGCTGTGGTGGGCAGGTAGGAACCGGTGGTGGGCAGGTAGGAACTGGTGTCGTCCACAGGAGACCAGGCTGGCCTCCTCCAGCCCCAGGGCTTAATGCCAGGCTGAGGGAGGGGCCAGGAGGACCACAGACAGCAGACAGCAGATGCCCCTGCCAAGGGGGATGGGGGTGACTCCTTGCTTGCCTATGCCTGCCTCCCCAAGGTGAGTACTACACAGACCAGGGCCCCGGAACCATCCTAACCCACGCTGGTCCACATCCCCTGGAATAACCTGGAGTAACAGATGAGCTCAGAGAAGAGGCTAGCACAGCGCAAGGCGGAAACGTCCAGGACCCAACAGGAACATACTGGGGTCCTTATGTAGATGTGGACTGATCAAGGACCCACAGTCTGCTGGTACCCCGACCCCTCCCAGAGTGCACCAGCCCATGTCCCTGACCACCTCCCAGGCAGGGGGGTCCATGCTATCCTTGAGAACCAGTCACCCCCCCCAGGGGAAAAAGCCAGAGGCTCTCTTGGTGGGCGATCCCTGGAGTTACCCTACAGCACACAGCCTGTCCTTACACGGGTCCCACATATGCAGCCATGGGGCCACAGAACGGGCCAACAATGTGAGGAACAACATCATCAGCCAAGAGGCCCACAGAGGGTGGGGGCAGACCATTCACAGAGGTGAGGCTCAAACAGGACACCAAACAGCCACAAGACCTCAGAGCTGTCGAGGGCAGGAAAAGTTTCACCATCGTCTGTCAGGAGGCAGCCGCACAGACCATGGGAGGCTGCTGTTCACCCACCGGAGCGGCTGGAGAAGCCAACGCAGGAGGTTCAGCAGGGCTGAAGGGGATGTAACCAGCACAAAGTCCCTGGAAAGCAGTCCTTCTAAATCGGGACACACAGCCGCCCTCCGAGGGCCCAGAGCTGCACCCGTGCATGACCTGGAGGAAGGCTCGTGTGCACACGCAAACCTGCACACGAACGAGGCTGCTGTTCAGTCACAATGGCCCAAACCCAGAACAACCGAGGTGCAACCCTCCATGGAACACTCCTCAGCAGGGAAATGACCAGGTCATCAGGCTAGTTGCCGGCACTGGAGGGCATCAAGTGAGGGGACACGACCTCAAAAGACACTTCTGCATACACATCTGACCTGCCACTTCACAAGGGGACAAGTGGGCGGGCCAAGGGCAGAGACAGCAGGTGGGAGGAGGGGCCTGCGATGACAGGTTACATTGGCCACTCCGGGAGCACAACGCAGACCCGCCCGCACACCAGCTCAAGGATCTGGAGGAACCAAGGGCCCAAGGGGCAGCCCGAGTCCAGACTGGTGGTTACCCTGGACTGATTGAATTTTCCCAGCTTCCTGTAAATCTAGTTATTTACAAATAAAGTCACAAAAAAGGGGCTGCTCTTGGGGCAGGCCTAGCAGGCGAAGGGGAGGCTGCAGTCATACCTACCGCATTTTATGGCACGTTGGCTTGGCTTCTTGAACCTTCAATAGGGACCAGAGGCGAGAGGCAGAACGAGGTCAGAGGTGCTGGCCTGGAAGGGGGCAACCAGTGGGCTGGGCCAGCTGATGCCCTGTGTCATCTTGGCTGAGGCAGGCAGCCAGGCTGGGGCTCAGGCACGTCCTGAGACCTGCACCAGGCAGGTCTAAGCCAGAGCTACCACCCACTGGCTCTTTCCCCCCAAACCATCAGGCCAGCGGGGAGGCAGGTCTCAGGGCGTGCTCCCTGGGGGCTGCCCACTCCATGCCAGAGCTGCCACCCCAGCCCTGAGGCAACCACAATGGGCCCCAGACCTCACCCTGTGCCTGGGGCATGGTGGCCAGATAAAGCAAATAAAAACTTGGAAGTTTTATCAGATAAACAGCAATAACTCTGCATAGGATGTCCTTACCCAAAAAAGCCGCCATCAACTGAGGCTCACCTGGGCATCTTGCATTTTTATTTGCTGGACCCGCAGTCCTTGGGGGATCCCCAACATGGCCACAGGCAGAGGGAGGTGGCAGGTGGCTGTGGCTTGCCCAGCCAGTAGGTAGCACCTGGATGCAGCATGTGGTGGCAGCACAATCCCAGGCTGATCCCTCAGCCAACCCTGCGAGGGTGGAGGCTGTGTAGAAACTCCAAATGGGCCACCCAGCCAACCCCTGGCCAGGAGCACTCCCTCTAGGAGTTGATTCCCCACAGCACCTGCCGCCCGCAGTTAGCAGTGTCCTCACTCCATAACTGGTCTCTCCAGACATGGCTGGTGCAAGGTGGCCGGTGGGTCTGAGGCCCCTGAACGCCCTGCCAAGCACTGGGGTGCCCACCGGGGCTGCAGGCTGCTGCAGGACTACCCCAGGAAGATCGCGTCAGGCGGGCAGTGCTAAAACACTGAGGGAGGCAGGGAAGGGGCAGCCTGCAGGGAGGCCAGGCCTGAGGGTGGGGGACACTTAGGCGCATGGGATCAGGGGTTCTGCAAAGGAGCAGGAGATGGTGAGCAGATGCAAGCCAGGACCCACTGCTCTCCTGCCAGTTTTCTGCCACCTGCACAGGCTCAGTGAGGCTGGGAGGTCCACACCAGGGCACTGGGACCTGGAGAGGAAGGAGCTGCCCAACTGCACACAAAGGGGTGAGAAACCATCCCAACCCCACGGCCACCCTGAGAGCACAGACACAGCCTTGAGGGAGCCTGGCCCCACAGGGAAAGCCACTTCAAGGACTGAGACCCAGGAATATTCCCGGTCCAAGAAGAAAAGGCCTTCGAGGAGTGGATGCAGGCCGCAGACTGGGAGGCAAGCTTGGAGTCACCCTGACAAAGGATGTCCTTCAGAATCACAAGACCACTTAAACTCTGCCCCTAGTAAAACCTGGCTGAAAACCTGAACTGGTACCTCCCCGAGAGGGCCTCCAGATGGCAGCAGGCACAAGGAAAGCACTCCTGTCCTGTGTCCTCAGGGAGATGCCTATCAAACCAGGAAACACACCACACCCTGGAGAACGGTCACATCCCACATGGTCACTGTGCTGCCTGACTGGGGCAGGGGGCTCCCACACTTGGCTGGTGGGGATGCAGCGCCACTGGCCACTTCTTACAAAGTCAAACACACTTTCACCAGATGACCTGACAGCTGTACTCCTTGGTGCCCACCCAGAGGAGGGGATAGGCCCACATGGAAACCCGCATGCATCTTACGGTGGCTCCGCTCACTACTGCCAGCACCTGGAAGCAGCCCAGACATCCTCCAGAAGGCAATGGGTGAAAAGACACTGGGACATCCAGACAAGGGGACGTTTCTCCACTAACGAACCAAGCTAATTTAGCTGTGAAAAGACGAGGGATCCTACTACACAACCCCAAGCACAAGCAGCCAATCAGAGAAACGTGCACTCTGTAGGATTCCAGCCATGATGTTATGGCAAAAGTGAGACTGTGAAGACCCTAGAGACGGAGGGTGTCAGGGATACAGGAGGGAGGGGGACCAGATGATATCAAGGGTGTGTTCAGTGTGCAGGGCAGTAACACCATTTTGTGAAACAGTGCAATGGACACTTACTGAAACCACAGGCCACAGCTCATGGGATGAGCTCTAACGTATCCAGTGGATTCTGGGCCTACCAGCTGGAACAGAAGCACTGCCTGGGGGTGTGGACAGCTGGGGACGTTGTAGCACATAATCTTCCCCTCAGTTATGCTCTAAACTAACACTGCTCCACAAAGGCCAGGTCCAACTTGAGACCAAACAACCAGGCTGAACCTGAGAGAAGGTGCTGCCTGGGGAAATGAGAACAGGTGCTCTGAGGAGCTCACAGGTAGGAAATGAGAAGTGGGGAGGCCGAAATGTCAAATTCCAGAGAGAGGGAGCAAACACAAGGCAGGGAGCAAGCAAGGGAGGTCACAGGGCCAGGCTCCTAGGGGTGCCATCTCCCCAAAGAGAAGAACTAGGACGCTGGCTTGGAATTGCACGAGGGAGACCAGGTCAGGGGATGTCACCTCAGGGCCCTCACTTCCCTCTGCAACAGAACAGCAAGTGGCATGACACCCCTGCTGTCTGAAGGCAGCGTAGCCACAAGAGTGCCATTAGGTGACTGAGACAGCATTTCCACAAAGCAAGAAGTAGTTTGGGTGTGCCCAGGACCATCCTCCAATTGGGCCTGTTCCTGAGTCACAGCACCAACTGGGTACCAACCCAGACAAGGTGCCAATCTGAGCCCCAGGACGTCAGCCTGAAGACCATGGCTTGCAAAGGAAAAACAGCCCCAGTGCCAGCACCACAATTAGGTCGAGACCTCAAAAGTAGTGATGTTTTTGGCCTGGGGCTAGGTGGCCCCCAAGCTGCCAGGTAGAACCACCTGCAGAGATGCAGCAGGTCAAAGGTGTTCTGGAAGTGTACCCTCCACGAGGGAGCAGGAGCAGATCTAGGAAATAGGGGCTCCAGGCAGGTAGGTGAAGACGAGCCCAGGCACCCTGCACCAGGGCATGGGGAATCGGTCCCGAAAGCATGGCCCAGCCATCGCGCACGGTCACAATGACGTCAACACCGACCGAAACAGAACAGAGCCCCGGTGTCGCTGGATTGGGTAGATTTGGGAGGGCACCGGGACATCGCAGCATCAGCCGGCCACGCAGAGACAGCCTGTAGTCGGCCTCCTGGTGCCGGGCCCTGTGCCCACTCCAAGTGTTCTTCCCCGAGTTCTGGGTCCTGGGAGCCCACATCACGACCTCGGGTGCCCACCCCAGGTGTCCCTCCCCAAGTGCCCCGCCCTGGGAGCCGACCCCATAACCTCGGGTGCTCGCCCACCCCAGATTCCCTCCGCAGGTGCCCCTCCCGCACCAGTGCACGCCCCTGGGGGTCCTGCGTGGGGGCTGGCCCCCCTATACCTTGTCCCTCCCGCTCCCATACTGCTGGCTACTCTGTTCCTCCGCTAGGGAACTCCCAGCTCTCCCCCAACTTCCTGGTCCTACTTCCCGGCTCCTCCCACTCACGTCGGTCCCCGCCCAAGCCCCGCCCCATGGATGACCCCCTTCCCCGTTCCCGCCCCTTGCCCTGGGGCTTCTATCCCTGCCCCCACGACCAGCGCCTCTTCAGACTACTCCCAGTTCCTCCGCCGGCTCTCACCGGTAGAGAATGACGTCGTAGAGCGTGCGTCCCTGGACATTGAGAAAGTGAGCGTAGCACACGTGCACCGCGGGCGGGGCCGCACTGTCCGCAGGACTCGGAAGCGGCAGCTCATTGGTCAGCAGCCCCAGGAGAAAGGGCGCCGAGTCCGGCCCGCGCACGCGCACCAGAGCTCGCTCGCCCAGCGGAAAGCAGGCCCAGGTCAGGCCGTCCGCAGAGTTGGCGCCCTGGCGGGCCGAGCCGTGGGCCGGGCGGTACCTCGGAGCCAAACGCAGCCGCCAGCGCCAGGCCACGCCGCCTCTCCCCGGAGCCGCGCCCCGTAGTAGCGCCGCAACCACCATCTCAGAGAAAAATGAGGGTGGGAAAGACTGTGGGCGGTGGGACGGGCGGGCTTGTAGACACTGCGGCCCCTGGCGGCGGGCGGACTGACGTGCCGGGGGGCGGGGTGGGGCGTGTGCTGAGACTGACGGGCCAGGAGGCGGGCCCTGCGACTGGGTGGACTGCGCGGGCGCCGCGGGAACTGGACCTCCGGCTACCTGTCCGCGCCGCCGCGCTCGCGTTGGCTCCTGGTGCAGGTGCGCGCACCTGCGAGGTTCGCTCTCTTAGAGCGGAGTTACCTTGCTTAACGGCGGTGCGGTACGCAGTCCCCGGACTTGCCCGCTCTGCCTCGCGCTTGTCCTCCCAAGCCCCGATCACGCCCCATCCCCTGCATGCCCTGGACCCCGGTGTCCTGTGGCTGGCCGACGCCCTCCTTGGGGTCTCGGGGCCCTGGCACCAGAGGGCTCTTTCCTTAGGGACTGGGCCATCCTTGGGGCTCACCGCGGTCGGGTCATCCGCCTGTTGTGCGCGCTCAGGTTGCCTTCCTGACTGTAGTGAGCAATGCTGTTGTGAACGCGAGCACGGCGCTGAGACCCTCCTTCAGCTCCAAAGGTGTGTGAAGGACCCACACGCTCCAGTGTCCTTTACTTCACTTCCAACACATGCAACACCGAGGGGTGCGGATACACATCAGGCAACAACTGCGGGTACTGCATTTACATCATTCTGACCCTGCCTGCTAGGGATGACATGGGGCCCAATGGTGAGGCGCTTGACCCCACAGGACCGTCACCACTGCAGATGCCCAGCCCAAGTCCAGGCTGTCATGGTGCTGCTTCCTGACCGGCTGGAGACCAGAAGTTCCCACGATCCCTCCCCGGGTTCCATTAATCCAGGACAGTGGCTCACCTAGCTTCCTTATTAGGTTAATGAGAACATGTTGTTCACTAGATTACCAGTTCAACATCAAAGGATGAGGCTTAGGAACAGCCACATGGGAGACACACATGGGGCACAGCTGTGGGAAGGGATGGTGAGCTCCCCGTTCTCTGGGGGCACCCAGTCCCCAAATGCCCATGTGGTCCCCAACCAGGAAGCTCTCCAAACGCCATCCTTCTGGGTTTGTGGAGGCTCCATTACTAGGCCTAATTGATTAAATCACTGGCCATTGGTGTGTGACAACCTCCAGCCCTCTCCGCTCCCTGGAGGTCAGAGGTGGGACTGAAAATTCTGACCCTCTAACCACCTGGCCACCAGCACCCATCCTTAGGGTCTTTCCAGAATCACCTCATTAACATAAACTCGTATGTCTTGGGGGAGGGCCGGTGGTGCTTGTTATAAATATCAAGACACCTGTACACATAGATGGCTCTCATCACAGGAAAGCCCAAGGATCTTAGGAGCTCTGTGCCAGGGACAGGGACAAAAACTACATGCACACTGGGTCACATAGTAATTCTATGTTAATTTTTTGAGGAACCTCCCTACTGTTTTCCTAAGTGTATCAGTCAGCTCAGGCTGCATAACAAATACCACAGACCAGGGGGCTTAAACAACAGACATCCATTCCTCAGACTTCTGGAGGCTGGAAGTCCAAGATCAGGGTGGGTTCCTGGTGAGGCCTCTCTCCTTGGTGTGCAGAGGGCACTTTCTTACTTTCCATGTCTCTTCTTCTTATAAGGACACCAGACCTAAGCCCACCCTGATGACCTCATTTAACCTCAATGCCTCCTAAAGGCCCATCTCCTCATACAGTCACACTGGGTATAGGGCTTCCACATGTGGATATTGGGGGACACCCCAGTGCATACATCACTAAGCACAGTTTTTGAACCTTGCTTCCCCTATCAGCAAATGTCCCCGATGCTTTGCTCCCCTTTCGGGGAAACATTGAGAGCCTGTGTGCTGTCCCTTAACCCACTGTTAAACCTGCACCCACCCTCCTGAGCCATAGCAAAGATGGAAGACTGAAACTGGCCACAAATACCCATGGCACCTCCTGTGCCTGCAGGTGATGTTTGCTTCTTGCCTCCCTGAATCTGCCTGCTCTGGGCTCTCTGCCCACTGTCCCTCCTTCCCCAGTGGCAATAGCATGAGGCTCCAGGCATGTCCTGAAGTCCATCTCCCCCTCCCCACCTCACCCAGCTGCATGGCCTTCCTCACAACCAACAAGCCAAGTCCACATCTGCAGTCCCTGTGTTCCCCCATACTCCATGCCCATGGTCAGCTGGCACTGCCCTGTGTGCTTCAGACTGTGGGAATGTGACCTCAAATCTCCCCAGAGCCTGGCACCTGGCATCCAGTATCCAGCCTGGAAACCTTCTTACACATGCCTCATATGGATGCCCCATGTGTCCCCTGGGCCCACCCCCAGAACTCCAGCATAGAGGGTTGTCTGTGCATGGTTGTCATGTCCCATGATGGGGAGGCTGCCCCAGGTCCACCACCCTGCTGCAGGTGCCTTTTCCCCATGCCCTGAACCTCCACTGATCTGTCACATCTCTGGTTGACGGTCAGAGCTCCAGCCTCACCCAGGGCCTAGCACACATCTGGGGCACATATAATTTGGCAGAACAAACACCCCTGTCCAGGAAGAACTCCACCCAAAGTGCCCATGTGGGCAGGGTCTAGCCTGCCCTCTGGCCCTCTGCTCAGCTTCCTCACCCTGCTCGCATGTCCAGCCCCCTTGCCCTCTTGAGGCCCCCTCAAGCCCTTGTAAGGCCCCAGCTCCCTCCCAGCTGAGCTTGGATGACTGGGTGCCCACAGGCTGAGGGGTGCAGAGCCCTTGGATCCCTTCCCAGCTGGTTTCATAGTTGTGACCAGCCAGGCCTGCTGTGCAGCTCCCCTGGCTGCAGGCCACCTGCCCTTTGTGCAGCAGGTCTTCCTCTGCCTGCCTGGCATTCCAGGGGTGACCCAGCACCTTCCTGCCAGCCCACCGAGGAAACGGGTTGGGGACGCATTCCTATAGCCTCATGTCAACCTGGCCCTAGGCCAGCAGAAGAGAGGAAACTGCTTGCTGCTGCTCAGCCCAGGAGTGGCAGGCTGGGTGACTTGGGGCCACCCAGAACAGTCCTGGCCTTCCCAAGTGGCACCCAGCCCAACCGCCCAGCACTGTCCAGCACTTCTGAGCTGTTTAACACACATTAATTCGAATGAAACCAAGTGAAATTCGGCTCCTTGCCCCTGGGACCTCAATAAGTACCCGTGTCCAGTGGCTGGCTGCCTCCATCTGCTGGCCAGTGCTGCTCCAGGCTCTTCCTACAGGAAGCCTCCCTAGATCTCTGCACCAGCCTGGCCTGCCCACAGTGCTGACCCCCATGCTAGGACGCCACCTGGCTGCTGCTTCATCTCAGGTTCCCCCATGGCCGCTTCTCACACCTGCAGCTACTGGGGTGGGAGTGGGTAGGATAGCTGAGGGCTGGCCTCGAAGGCTCCAGGAAACCCTGTTCATTGACCTGGGTGTGTGGGGCTGCAGCTGGATTCCGCGTCATCACCTCCCCCTGAGGTCATGGGCCCTGGAGCCATGGGGAGGGGAGAGGAGCAGAGAGCTTGGAAATAAGCAGGGGTGGGGGTCCCAGACCCTGCTTCCCAGCAGCTGCCAGACCAGGGACGGTTTCCTGTTATTCTCTCCTTGTGGTCTCCTCCCTTCCCAAAGGCAGGGGAGGAAGCTGCCGTATTCTGGGGGTGTCCCAGCAGCCCCCTCCTTGCAGCCCTCTATGGTCCTCCAGGGCTGCTGGTGAATTGGCTCTGGCAGTGGAAACGGATGAGGAGGCGAGGAGGCATTCCAACTGATCCTGTACCCACCACTTTCCTGGCCCCTTTCCACACAGACGCTACCCAGGGACCCAATGAGCAGGGAGGTTCACCCTGTGGCCTGAGACCACGGCCAGATTGGAACATCAAGAAACTGGTGTTGGGGGTAGGACCATGGAGACCCAGAGGTCAGCTCCCCAGGCTGCTGACATCAGGTGGGAGAATATGGCAAAAGAGCCAGTCTCGGCCACTGGAAGCTCACAGCACTGACAGGCCCCAGGTGGTGCATCCAGGCCCCAAGTTCCAAAGACAGAGGCCGGAACTTGAGGGTCCCTTACTACGTGGTGTTGAGATTCATCTGGGCTGCCTGTGTCCCCCAAGTCCACTCGGGGGAGGCCTCATCCCCAGGACCTCAGAGAGGGGCTGTGTTTGGAGATGGGCCGTTACAGAGGTGATTAAGTTACAATGAAGTCATCAGGGTGGCCCTGATCACACAGGACTGGGGTCCATATGAGAGGGCAGGACACAGACATGTCCAGAGGGATGGCCACTTGGGGACACAGGGAGACGGTGGTGTCTACACGCCCCGGAGAGAGGCCTCTGGAGGAACCAGCCCTGCCGGCACCTGATCTTGGAGTCCAGCCTCCTGGATGGGGAGGATAAATGTCTGTCTGAGCTGCCTACCTGTGCCGTTTGTTATGCAGCCCAAGCTGACAGAGAAACCTTCCCACAGAGCTGCTTTTGCAGCTTCCCTCACAGCTGGGGTGTCCCTTCAACAGGTTCTGGCTGATGGGGTGTGCTTTGGTTAGGGTAATCCAGTGAAACAGAAACAATTGGATATATATACATATATATATTTTTTACTTTAGGGAATTAGTTCACAGGACTGTGGGACTGGCAAGTCTGAAGTCTGCAGGGCAGGCTGGAGGCCCAGGAGAAGGGTTGATGTCACAACAGCTATACATCTGAGAGATGAACAGAGACAGACAGATTTATTGGAAAGAATTGGTGCACATGATTTGGAGGCAAAGAAGTCCCAAGGTCTGCTGTCTGAAGGCTGCAGATCCAGCCTGAGGACAGAGACCAGTGTCTCAGCTCAAGTGGTCGGGCAGGAGGAGTTTCCTCTTACTCCACCCTTCTGTTCTACTCTGGCCATCTCCCAATTGGATGAAGCCCACCCTTGCTGGGGAGGGCAGTCTGCTTTATCATGTCCCCTGGTGTGTGTAGGTGGGGTTTGGGGGCTTCACCCTCCAAGGGGCCAGCCTGGTACGGCTGCAGTGCCCACGTGGCTGACTGTATTCTCTGAGAGGCCACAGTCAAATCCCCCATCCCAAGGGTGCTTCCTAAAATGACACTGACCCATGGAGAGGGTCCAGCTCTGCACTCACCTGCCTCATCGCAGAGACAGTGAAAGAGGGCCTCAGACTACATGCCCCCCTCCCCCACCGCCGGGACCCAGCCTCCTCCTGACGACACCAGGCTCTCTTGTTCATTGATGACCCTTCCTCCCTGGGGAAGGAGCTGTGCCCTGCTCACCAGAATTGGCAGCTCATCCAGGACTCCCAGGGGGCGAGGGTTCCTTGGGGCATGGCTTACCTGATGGCAGGCCTTACCTAGGGTCAAGGCTCCCCTGAGGATGGGGCTCAGTCTTTGGCCTCCCAAGGCCTGAGGGCGAGGATTTCCTGGGTGTGGACTTCACCTGGGATCAGCACTCACCTGGAGGTAAAGGATCCTTTGGGAGCAGGGCGCAATCAAGAAAGAGCTCCTCTGGGTCTGGGACTCAGCTAGGGGTTGGAGGGTCGGTCAGCCAGTCAGGCCCCACGAGATACTGCATGTGCTGTTATCTGATTACAGCAGGTTGAGGTGAGGGATGTGGCTCAGCCTGGGCCCAAAGCTTGGCCTGGGGGCACCAAGAAAGGTTGGTGGCCAGGAGAGGTTGGGAGCTGGCTGGGGTCACCAGTCTAAAACAAGGTGGCTCCTTGCTAGCAGCAGATGATGTCCCCTGGTGCCCACCTCTGCCCTTCACTGTGTGGGCTCTGGCTGGGTCCGGATAATGCCAGACCAATGCTGGACAGCCGCCAGAGCTCAGGGCTTGTCGACCTAGCCCTGTTCTTGGTCCTCACCAGGTGCGCAAGGCTGTACCCCTCGTCCGTGGCCTGGTGCTGGGCGGCACCAGCATCTCCAGGAGCTGTGGGTGCTCGGACTGGGCCTTGCTGCCCCACTGGTCCATGGAGGGACCTCCTCTTCCAGCCAGCCTGGCAGTGACCAGGTACCCAAAGGCCGGTGGTGGACATGCACGCACATGCACACGTGTGTGTAAACTCAGGTATGCGTGCACATCAAATGCGAACACACGCACACACGGTTGTAAAGAAATTTGCTTTATTTTACTCCCTTTGCTTTTGAGGCTGTGCCTGAATTGGGGAGGAGGCAGGAGCCCAGAGAGGCCTCCGGGCCGGTTCCCAGCAAGGACAAGGCCAAATCCTTCAGGGTGGGCCGACACCTTTGCAGAACTTCAAGTACGTCCCAGAGCAACGGGGCCGCGCCAAGCCCGCACAGAGCCTTGAGGGGGCGTGGCCCCGCCCACCCCAAGTCCCTGGCCTCTGCCCAAGTCCATGAGGGGCTGGAACTCGGAGCAGCCCCAGCCACAGGCGTGCCCACCCCGCGGGGTTCAGAATCCGGGCTGGCGACCCTTCCTTGTTCCCAGGCCCCTCTTCTACATCCTACCCTGGACAGCGTGGGCCCTCAGGTGGTGCCCTTCCCTGTCCCGCCCCTCCCCGGAGGAGAAGGGAAAGGGAGAAGAAGAGCTGGAGCAGGCGGGCTGCTCTCTGCGCCCTAGCGCGTCCAGACCCCAGCCTCCCCCCGACCCCCACCCTGAGCCTAAGTGTTGAGGGAGGACGGCGAGCAGCGCGGCGGACCTCAGATCCACACGGTCGTCTTCCCCTCCCTGCTGCTGGCACTGCCCTTCTCCGAGCCCGCCCTGGGCTTGACGCCTGGCCGACCCTGGCCCCCGCCGGTGCCCCCAGACGTGGCGCTGCCCGACCCAGAGGCGGGAGCACCGGCGTGCGGGGGCCCCCGGGCGGCCTCTGGGAGACCTGGACAGAGCGGGCTGTCGCGGTCCCCGAGCGCGTGCCCGTTCCGCAGAGCCTGCAGCGCCAGGCTGGCTAGGTCCTGGTCGTGGGCGCGCGCGCGCTCGGCTGCGCGCACCACGAGACTGTAGTCTGGCGGGCAGGCCAGGCTGGCCGGCGCGGCCGGCAGCGCGCAGGGCGGTGAGCGAAGCACTGGGCCGGAAGCGGAGGGCGGCACCCGGCGGCAGCGCACGGCGTCCTGAGCGCTGCCCAGGCCCAGGTGCGCCATCTCGCAGAGGTTAAGCAGCAGGCAGAGGCAGCTGACCACGTACATGACCAGCAGGAAAACAGTCTTCTCGGTGGGCCGCGACACGAAGCAGTCAACCACGTGCGGGCAGGGCTGGCGGCTGCATGGAAAGAAGGGTGGCACTTCGAAGCCGTACAGCAGGTACTGACCTACTAGGAAGGCCACCTCGAAAGCGGCCCGCGCCACCAGCTGTGCCACGTAGACACGCATTAGGCCCTCGCGCTGGATGCGCCTCCGCCCGTCGTGCTGGCCGGCGGGGCCCAGGGTTCCGGCTGCCTTGACGTCCTTGACCGCGTCCTCGGCCTCGTCCTCCTCGCCCAGGCCCTCGGCCGGCCCTGGTTCCTCATCATCCTCGCCCAGGCCCAGCATGGGCTCCTCCTCGCCCAGGCCGGCGGCGTCGGGCCAGCCGGGATGCGGCGGCGGGGCCAGAGGTAGGGGCGCACGGCGGCCGGGGCGGCGACGGGGTGCGCGGCGGCGCTCGTCTTGCGAGGCGCGGGCAAGTCGGTGCACGGCATAGCCCAGGTACATGACAGAGGGCGTGGAGATGACCACGATCTGGAAGACCCAGAAGCGCACGTGGGACAGGGGCGCAAAGGCGTCGTAACACACGTTGTCACAGCCGGGCTGCCGCGTGTTGCACATGAACTTGGTTTGCTCGTCCGAGTAGATGGACTCTCCGCCCACGGCTGTAAGCACGATGCGGAAGACCACCAGCACTGTGAGCCACACCTTGCCCACGAACGTGGAGTGGTTGTGGATTTCCTCCAGCAGCCGCGTCAGGAAGCTCCAGCTCATGTTGGTCATAGGGGCAGGGGAGGCGACCTGCGAGCCGGGGTCAGAGCTCAACCCGGGCGCGGACGGGACCTGCGGAGAGCTCACTACCTTCCCAAGAAGGGGCAGCCCCCTCCAGGACCTCCCCCACCCAGGTTCTGCCCCTGCCTGTGGGATGGACATGGAAAAGGAGGGGCCTCCGGTACAGACCATAGGCGACCTTGCTCTGGCTGAGCACCCTCCTGGCTCCCCTCAAGATCCTACTCCAGATGCCTGGAGTAGCACCAGCCCTCCCTTCCGCCCCCAGCCCTCAGGAAATTTGCCCTCCTGCAAGCCATGCCTCCCAGCTCTGGGGACCTCCACTCTAGGCCCTGAGAGCCATGGGGTATCTACTGGGTGAGTGGCCTTCAAGGGGCCAGAGAGGAGTTGGAGACCAGCCCCTTCAGAGTCTTGTAGGGGCACCCACAGCCCCAGCTCCACCCACTGCAGTGTCTCATGGATTTCTATTCCTAGTACACACACACACACACACACACCCCTCTAGACACACACACATACAAATGTGCTGTTATCTGATTACAGCAGGTTGAGGTGAGGGATGTGGCTCAGCCTGGGCCCAAAGCTTGGCCTGGGGGCACCAAGAAAGGTTGGTGGCCAGGAGAGGTTGGGAGCTGGCTGGGGTCACCAGTCTAAAACAAGGTGGCTCCTTGCTAGCAGCAGATGATGTCCCCTGGTGCCCACCTCTGCCCTTCACTGTGTGGGCTCTGGCTGGGTCCGGATAATGCCAGACCAATGCTGGACAGCCGCCAGAGCTCAGGGCTTGTCGACCTAGCCCTGTTCTTGGTCCTCACCAGGTGCGCAAGGCTGTACCCCTCGTCCGTGGCCTGGTGCTGGGCGGCACCAGCATCTCCAGGAGCTGTGGGTGCTCGGACTGGGCCTTGCTGCCCCACTGGTCCATGGAGGGACCTCCTCTTCCAGCCAGCCTGGCAGTGACCAGGTACCCAAAGGCCGGTGGTGGACATGCACGCACATGCACACGTGTGTGTAAACTCAGGTATGCGTGCACATCAAATGCGAACACACGCACACACGGTTGTAAAGAAATTTGCTTTATTTTACTCCCTTTGCTTTTGAGGCTGTGCCTGAATTGGGGAGGAGGCAGGAGCCCAGAGAGGCCTCCGGGCCGGTTCCCAGCAAGGACAAGGCCAAATCCTTCAGGGTGGGCCGACACCTTTGCAGAACTTCAAGTACGTCCCAGAGCAACGGGGCCGCGCCAAGCCCGCACAGAGCCTTGAGGGGGCGTGGCCCCGCCCACCCCAAGTCCCTGGCCTCTGCCCAAGTCCATGAGGGGCTGGAACTCGGAGCAGCCCCAGCCACAGGCGTGCCCACCCCGCGGGGTTCAGAATCCGGGCTGGCGACCCTTCCTTGTTCCCAGGCCCCTCTTCTACATCCTACCCTGGACAGCGTGGGCCCTCAGGTGGTGCCCTTCCCTGTCCCGCCCCTCCCCGGAGGAGAAGGGAAAGGGAGAAGAAGAGCTGGAGCAGGCGGGCTGCTCTCTGCGCCCTAGCGCGTCCAGACCCCAGCCTCCCCCCGACCCCCACCCTGAGCCTAAGTGTTGAGGGAGGACGGCGAGCAGCGCGGCGGACCTCAGATCCACACGGTCGTCTTCCCCTCCCTGCTGCTGGCACTGCCCTTCTCCGAGCCCGCCCTGGGCTTGACGCCTGGCCGACCCTGGCCCCCGCCGGTGCCCCCAGACGTGGCGCTGCCCGACCCAGAGGCGGGAGCACCGGCGTGCGGGGGCCCCCGGGCGGCCTCTGGGAGACCTGGACAGAGCGGGCTGTCGCGGTCCCCGAGCGCGTGCCCGTTCCGCAGAGCCTGCAGCGCCAGGCTGGCTAGGTCCTGGTCGTGGGCGCGCGCGCGCTCGGCTGCGCGCACCACGAGACTGTAGTCTGGCGGGCAGGCCAGGCTGGCCGGCGCGGCCGGCAGCGCGCAGGGCGGTGAGCGAAGCACTGGGCCGGAAGCGGAGGGCGGCACCCGGCGGCAGCGCACGGCGTCCTGAGCGCTGCCCAGGCCCAGGTGCGCCATCTCGCAGAGGTTAAGCAGCAGGCAGAGGCAGCTGACCACGTACATGACCAGCAGGAAAACAGTCTTCTCGGTGGGCCGCGACACGAAGCAGTCAACCACGTGCGGGCAGGGCTGGCGGCTGCATGGAAAGAAGGGTGGCACTTCGAAGCCGTACAGCAGGTACTGACCTACTAGGAAGGCCACCTCGAAAGCGGCCCGCGCCACCAGCTGTGCCACGTAGACACGCATTAGGCCCTCGCGCTGGATGCGCCTCCGCCCGTCGTGCTGGCCGGCGGGGCCCAGGGTTCCGGCTGCCTTGACGTCCTTGACCGCGTCCTCGGCCTCGTCCTCCTCGCCCAGGCCCTCGGCCGGCCCTGGTTCCTCATCATCCTCGCCCAGGCCCAGCATGGGCTCCTCCTCGCCCAGGCCGGCGGCGTCGGGCCAGCCGGGATGCGGCGGCGGGGCCAGAGGTAGGGGCGCACGGCGGCCGGGGCGGCGACGGGGTGCGCGGCGGTGCTCGTCTTGCGAGGCGCGGGCAAGTCGGTGCACGGCATAGCCCAGGTACATGACAGAGGGCGTGGAGATGACCACGATCTGGAAGACCCAGAAGCGCACGTGGGACAGGGGCGCAAAGGCGTCGTAACACACGTTGTCACAGCCGGGCTGCCGCGTGTTGCACATGAACTTGGTTTGCTCGTCCGAGTAGATGGACTCTCCGCCCACGGCTGTAAGCACGATGCGGAAGACCACCAGCACTGTGAGCCACACCTTGCCCACGAACGTGGAGTGGTTGTGGATTTCCTCCAGCAGCCGCGTCAGGAAGCTCCAGCTCATGTTGGTCATAGGGGCAGGGGAGGCGACCTGCGAGCCGGGGTCAGAGCTCAACCCGGGCGCGGACGGGACCTGCGGAGAGCTCACTACCTTCCCAAGAAGGGGCAGCCCCCTCCAGGACCTCCCCCACCCAGGTTCTGCCCCTGCCTGTGGGATGGACATGGAAAAGGAGGGGCCTCCGGTACAGACCATAGGCGACCTTGCTCTGGCTGAGCACCCTCCTGGCTCCCCTCAAGATCCTACTCCAGATGCCTGGAGTAGCACCAGCCCTCCCTTCCGCCCCCAGCCCTCAGGAAATTTGCCCTCCTGCAAGCCATGCCTCCCAGCTCTGGGGACCTCCACTCTAGGCCCTGAGAGCCATGGGGTATCTACTGGGTGAGTGGCCTTCAAGGGGCCAGAGAGGAGTTGGAGACCAGCCCCTTCAGAGTCTTGTAGGGGCACCCACAGCCCCAGCTCCACCCACTGCAGTGTCTCATGGATTTCTATTCCTAGTACACACACACACACCCCTCTAGACACACACACACACACACACACACACACACCCCTAGCCCCCAAATGCTGGAGCCCCACAGCCTGCAGCAGCACACCCCTCCTCCCTTCCTTCACACCCTGCACTGGGCTTCTGATCCTGCTACTTTCACCAAAGACCCCCCCATGCCCTTTCAAGCTGCCTCATCAGTCCAGTGGCTGCCCCTCCTTCTGGTCCTGCACCCCTGTCCTCTGCAGAGAGGCCAGGTCTTCCCAGCTGGGAGGCTGGGTGAGGACAGGCATTTGTCTGGGACGGGCTGTGTCCTGAGAGGCATATACAGACACCATGTAAGCCACCTGGGCCCCTAGGGGACATTCACAGGACCACTCACCACGTCTCAGACCAGTGCCCCTTGTAAGTCAGCTGACCCCTCTGCCCAGGAGAAGGCTCTGAGGGCAGGGCCATAGCGGTTGGGGGTGGGGGTCTGTACCTCCAGAGAGGGGAGAGGGGCTGCAGCCTCCCAGCATCCATTCTCCCTCCTCTGCGGCCAAGGCCAGTACCTGCTCCTGGGTAGTTTGGTTGTCGCAGACCCCTGAGTACGATGCTTCTGGCTCCCTACCTCTGGAGGGGCTGGGAGGCAGCCAGGGCAGGTGTGGGATGGAACAGCAGAGGCAGGCAGGGCTCTGCTCTTTATACAACTGGGGCCTCCCTCTGGGGCGGCAGGAAGAGGGGGCAGCCTGGGGAAGTGACTCTTCTTCCTCACATCTGTGTGCAGTGACCCTCTGAGAGACACACACACGGAAACACCTTATGCACACCTACACGTGCGCCCAGGTGGCCACAGACACACACGTGGACGCTCACGCACTTGTAAACGATGCACCCAGGCACACAAGCGCAGGCAAGCGGACGAGCACGCCAGCCTTGGGCCCCTTCTCCAGCCTTCTACCTCAACAGCCAGTGGCTCCCTCCCCTCCGCATCCCCCCGGGCGTTTCTTCCCAGGACTCTAACCACGCCTCTCTTCCGGGATCTTTGTGGCCCCCACCTCCATCCCCGCGCTTCTCGGGAGGCTGAGGGCCCCATCCCAGACCGCAGGAACCTGGAAGAGACGGCAGAGCAGCCCCCGACTTCTCTCCCTCCCTAGACCGAGCCCAGGGGAGAAACTGGGTGGGGGGAGGAGAGAGTCAACATTTAGCAACCCGCTGGCGGGTGGCGCTCGTTGAATCGGTTGCTGGTCCCCGGGGTGTAAACGTCCCCACCGCGCCATGGCCACCACCGGGAGACCCGCGCAGGGGCGCTCAGACCGGCTAGCTTGCCCTGGGCTGCCCTCCTGGGGGTGTGAGGGACCCTCCGCCCTCGGAGGCCGAACCGGCTGGGGCGGGGGTGTCAAAAGAGAGGGAGGATCAGGGCGAGCCCTGCGGCTACCAGCTGAAGGGGACCACCTGGGCACTGGTTGGGGTTGGGGGTGCTCAGGAAGCCTCCGGTGGGGTGCTGCAGACCCGTGGGGCCTGGTGTCACGGAGGAATCATTGCGCGGTCCGGGGCTCGCGCTGAACAGCTCTGGCCTGAAGGAGCCATGCAGGGGGGCCCCCAAGTTTAGACACCCAGCTCGTGCTGCCTCCGTCGTGGGCCGTGGATGTCGGCAGGACTCCAGAGGACGGTCCCCCAAATCTCCTTCCAAGGCGCGTCCAGAACGGGTGGGCTAATCCCGACCGGCTCTCAGCTCCACCAGCCCACCCTGGACGCCACCCCGCGGCGCTGCCTCCCTCGCTGAGAACACCCGACGGAGCCCACCGCCGCGCTACTGGACTTGCGACCTTGTGAATAAGCCAAGCGCACCTGGCCGGGCCAGGTAACCTGCACCCCATGCCTCCTCCGCACAAGACTGGCCCATAGTCGGGGCGTGGGGGAGGGGTTCCGCCCCACCCCCACATAACTACGTCCCCCACGTGGCTCTAAGCCAACCCACACCCCTTGTCCCCCATGTCCACCCTCCGCCCCACCCTGCACAATCTCACTCCTGCAACCCCCAACGCTCCCCGTCCCGCCCCACTCCTAGCCTGCCTCAGAGGCCCCCACCCCCAGCTATCCGCTATTTCCGCGCACTGGGACTGAACCACAGTCTGGCAGTTACAGACAGGCGACGGGAGCTGCTGCAAAGTCCCACGTGGTCATGGGTTAGCGTAATGGACGGCTTCCTAGAGAATGTCACAGACACGCATATGCACACTGCTTATACACACAGATTGTAAATGACCAGCGTGTCGCAGGGGGAAGGCGTGGGGACACGGAGTTCCCGGCTCTCCACTTCCCTGAGAACTGCGGGAGTGACTGAATATCCCTGCCTCTCCCCATTCGTCCCCCTGCCAGGCATGTATGTCTCGGGCTGTAGGCTGCAAGCTGCTCCAAACAGGGACTTTAGGCGGTGACCCCGCTCTGGGCAGTGGGACACAACCCGGACTAGGGGCAGTGGGGGAGGTGGCAGGAGCTGCTGGTGTGCTGGCCCCTCATCAGGCCCCAGAGTCTGCAGGGAGCAGAGCTGTCAGAGCAAGTACAGGTGGGGGCCTCCAGGAGATCTGGGGAAGGGGTCGGGGCCCCCTGGGTGTCAGGGTCTGGGAGAGGGCAGGTTTGGGAGTGGCCAGCAAAGGGTGGGCATGGAGGGTATGGATTTCTCATGATGGGACTAACTGGGATGTGGGTGTTGGGCAGACGCCGTGACTCCCAGTGGGCACCAGGATGGTCACCCTGGGGTGAGCTAGGCACCACACTGTCTGGGCTGCAGTGGGGTGGCCTCAGCAGGGGTGGGCAGCTGGCTCCCCACTTGGAGTCCCTGTGACGCTGGGTCTGAACAAAGGTCCAGGAGCTAGGCCAGGTGGGAAGGTGGGCGTGGGGCTGGGGTTGAAAGCCAGAGAGGGCCCAGAACTTCCTACAGTCCAGCAAGGCCAGGGCTTGCCCAGCCATTTCCTTTGATCCTTAGCCGGCTTCCTCCTATGAGCCCCCTCTTAGGGCAGGCAGGACTTCCTCCTACTGGGGAGGCGCTGCAGGTCAGCTCTCAGCTCAGGGAGCTGTCCTGTGTGTGTGTGTGTTGGGGGTGGGTGGGCTCCCCAGGAAGCCCCTTCCAAGGACACAGGGACCCCAGCAAGCACCTGGCCCTGGGCAGCCCCTGGTGCACATAGGGTACCCAGCAGTCCCCAAGGGGCTCCAACCCTGGACCTAGCTCAGAGCCCAGGGCAGGTCTCCCCTTGTCAGCTCAGTGCTAGTTCCCTGGGCCCCTGGACCCCCGGCACAGTGGGAGGTGTGCACCCCCCAGCTGTCCAGTACTGAAAACCCAGGCCTAGGGACCCTCTCCCACACCAGTGTGCCCCCAGGAACTGTATGCATGCCTCCACTTGAGTGGATGCTGGCTAGACTCCAGGCTCCCCTACTCCTCTTCCTGCCTCCTTCCAGGCCCCCACCTCCAGGCTCCCCCTGCAGGACCCCTGGGTTGGGGCCAGGGAGCCCTGGCTCTCAGGACAGGAACCCCTCTCCTTCCAGGGTCCTCAGGACCTCCCTGTCTACTCCAGCACTCCCCAGCCCCCAGAACTGCCTCATCCGCATATGGACACCTGACAAACTCACACTTGTACACTCACACATACACTGCACAACCACTGGCCTCACCCTCCTCTGCCTCTGCCTAGGTCCTGTGGCCCCACAAGGGAATTTCTCCAAGCCCAAGAGGCCAAGGTGCGCCCCATTGCCAGCAAGGTGCCCTGAGGGCAGATGTAGCAGGGACGGGGAAGAGGGGTGGCCCAAGGCAGAAGGCTGCTTCCTCCTGGGATGCTGGAGGTGTGGACAGCTGGGCTGGCAACCGCTTCCCTCTGCAGCCTGGCAGCCTCAGACCTAGGGACCCAAGGGGTGTTGGAAGAGGGTGGGAGCAGGGGGGAATGCTAGATGGAGGGAGGGATGAGCAGGCTTAGGCCTAGGCAGTGAGTCATGCTGGTGCCCTGGAGAGCTGGGCCGGACCTGGGGCCCTGGGTGTGGGGAGTGGGCCAGGAGCAAGTACATGAGGCCCACCGAGATCCCCAGCCAGGCTCTTGGTAACCTGCAGACCTCCCAGGCTCAGCACACCCCCCTAAACCCTGCAGGAGGCCCACCCCCATGTCTCCAAACCGCCTCTGTAAAGCCACTACAGCTTGGTTTTCCCACCCTTTTCAGCATATGGCATGCTGTGTATCCTTGCCAATCCAGAACATCCCCCAACAGCCCAGGCATACCCCCATCCCAGGCAGAACTGCACCCCACCAGGTCCACTGTTCCACACAGCCATGTATCACAGGCCCCAGCAGGCATGGCCCTTCCCTGTGCAGCTGTTCAGGGACTCATGGACTGGCTGCTCTGCTGTCCTTGGTCCAGCAACCCATCCTCACCCAGCCACCCAGACAACTCACAACTGTGGCACACCAGAGACCACTCCTGGAGGACAGGGCTATGTTCTGCTCTCTGCTGACCCCCACGGCCTAGACCTGGGACCTGACACTGTACCCACAGGATTTAAGGGAAAGCACGCCCAGGCCACATGTGGTATAGGTGGCAGGCAGGGGTACCCAGCCCAGCTTGACTGCCCATGTGTAGGGGTGGGGTTCCCAGCATCCCCCCACTGGGCCCAAACACCCTAGGCCAACCTCTGGACACACTGCAGCTGCCTGGCTGGCATGGGCTGGCTGGACTGCACAGCCTGAGGGACCCCAGCTGCTGCGGAGGTATATCTTCCCCCTACCACCAGCCTGAGCAGTCCCAGGGGCTCCACCTCCCCCACCCGTTTCAATGCCCAGGAAGACCCAGCCATCAGGCCTTAGGCCTTGTCCATGAGAACCATGGGCCTGGGATAGACAGACCCTCAAATGGAGGGCTGCCCAGCCAGGGGTCTCCCCAGGTTGGCCATTTCAGGAGACCCAGGCCCAGAGCAGGGTGTTCATGCTGCTCAGCTCCAAGGTCACCCCACACCTGGCCTCTGGGCAGGGTCCTACCTTTTTCAGGCCAGGAAATGCGAGTTGAGCTCTTGCACTTGCCAGCTGACTGGACACTGGCCCTCCTGAGGGTGTGTGCCCTGCTGAGCTTGGGCCTGACCCAGGGCCACCTCTCACCACCAAGCACAATGCTCGGGGAGGAACTTCAAGGGCCCCATTGTTTCCCGAGGCCTGAAGCCTGGGTCTGAATCCCTGATTGTCCTTGGACTGGCCCAGAGAGGGAAGGGGCCTCTTCTGGGCTGCAAAGCAGGACAGCAACCAATCTGGCCCTGCCTCACCTACCCCCAGCCTGGGGGGCTGCCCAGCACCCCTCTGGCCTGCAGTCCCGCATCCAGACAGAGCTCTCTGCCTTCTTCTGTATCTGGGCTTTTGGATGAAGCCCAGCCTCCCTGTCTGTTTCCACCTGGGCTCCCTGCCCCCTCTGGGTCCTATCGTGGGACCCTGGCCCAGGTGGATTCTACAGGCATCTCCTCATGCTAGGAGGACCTGGAATCCCAGCAGAGGCCCCTAGTGTCCTTCCTGGGCCAGCTTTTCCCAGGGCCTCAGACAGCACTGAGTACACAGGCCCCCAGGACAGTGGTTCAATCTCAATCAGGCGGCTGGAGCAGGATGAGCCCTTGCATGCTTCTCCCTAGCTCCTCTTCCCACATGGTGCATGGAGTAGCCCCAGGCAGCCCCACATGTTCCCTCTGCACCCAACCCTCAAGACCCAAGGGACCCACCTGGTGGCCATAGCTGGTCTCCCAGAAACTGCTCCCTGCAGCCCTCCTGGGGCTGGCTGATTAGGGGTGGGGCTGCAAAGAGCAGGGAAGAAGTGCACAGATCCAGGCAGAACTCCACAGGCTTGCGTATGCTGTAACCCAGCAGCTCTTTATTAGGATATTGGCCCAGATCCCACAGGAGGGGCCATGGGGCAGGGGGGCAGGGTGGTCCTGCCTGCAAGGACTCAGCTGGGGCCTCCTCAGGAGTGACAGCTTCCCTGAGCCTTCTTGATTTCCTTTGGGGGTGAAAGGAGGATCTTGCGAGAGTCCAGGGAGCCGCCAACCCCGCCCACTCTCCTGTGCAGAGATGGGAGCCCACCTCCAAGAGTGCCTCCTCCAGGGCGTGGTAGGCTTTGTCCAGGTTGTCATTGACGATGACCAGGTCAAAAAGGCCGGGCTCCTTGCCTGGGTGGGGGCGGGGCAGGATCAGGGAGTGTATGGGGGGGGGACTCCACGGAGAGGCCCTCCCCCTGGTGGGGCGCTCTGGCACTCACTGCTCTCCATGTCAGCCCGAGCGGCAGTGAGCCGCTTGGACAAACTCTCCTCCGTCTCTGTGTTCCGCAACCGCAGACGCTGCTCCTGATACACGCAAGAGGGTCAGTGTGACAACAGGGAGCTAGGCCCACCCCTCCCATCCGGGGCCCACCCCACCAGCACATCCAGTGAGGGCGGCTGCACGAAGATAAAGATGGGCCGCAGGTCCGTCATCTTGATGTTGCGCACGCCCTGCAGGTCCACATCCAGCAGGCAGATGCGGTTCATGGCCTGCACAGCCCGCACGGCAGCTTTGCTGGGAGGGTAGCAGGGGGCTGCTCAGGCCCGGCAGCCAACAGCCTGGAGGAGCCTCAGCATATTGCCCTGGGGAACCCCCCAACCTGCTCTGGGCCTACAGGAGCACCTGTAGGGCCCCACCTTCACCCTGGCACCACTCCACCATTTTGGAAGCAGCCTGTGCTTGAACGACCTCTGTGAACTACAGTGCAGCATGATGGTCCTGTGGGGTCCCTGCTTCACCCCTGCAGACTGCTCAGACCGCCTGCTCAGAGGCCTGCCTGGGCATGCCTGTTTCCAGGACACAGGTCCACCTGTCAGCCAGGTGGGAGGAGCCCAGCCCCAGGTGGGAGCTAGCCCAGCCCACACAGACCCTGCTGGGGAATGAGGGGGGTGTTGGGGAGGGAAAGGTGGGTGCACTATTAGGCCAACACTCCCCAGACACCCCACTGGTTGTGGGTTGGTGGGGAAGGGGCTGCTTTGCAGTCTTCAGGCCTGTGGGACCCAGGTCCACAAAGTCCTCACTGCCCACTAGCCTGGCCAGTGGCCTGGCCAGGAAGGATGGCCTAGGAAACCCAGACCCCCTGCTCAGTCCCCACTCTGCTTGGGTAGCCCACCTGGTCCCATACAGGTTCCCCGAGAACTCAGCATGCTCAATGAAGTCCCCCGCAGCGATGTCCCGCTGCATCACTTCCCTGGTCACAAAGTAGTAATCTGCAAGGAGCAGGTGTTATGCCAGGCTGCCTGCTGCCAGGTCCCAGGGAACATATGACCAGAGCCAGCCCATCTCCCCATCTGCCCACCCACCCCAGGGCTGCTTCAGCTACCAGGCAGAGAGGGGTCTGAGGACGGGATAGAGGCAGGTGTCACTTTCCACATTGCCCTCATTGAGAGAGGCCTGGAGACCACCGTCCTTGCCCAGGGAGGCTAGGGGCTTCCAGACTGGTTGACAGGCACAAAGTCCCAAAAGGCCACAGAAGACGCTTGTGACCTCAAGCCCTGAGCAGCGCTCGGCTACAACTTCAGTGCACGTGGTCCTTGGTGGGGTCAGGGCCCCTAAGGCCTTCCCTGCCCTGGCTCATGCCTTGCAGGAGGGGCCATCTGTCAGGCGGCACTGCAGCCCCAGAGCTGAGCCAAGTCCTGAGCTCACCTTTGCCGTTCTCCTCTCCAGGCCGAGGGTTCCTCGTGGTGTCTAGGAATAAGCCCCTGTGATGACCCAGGGTTTGTGGCCCACGATCCCTCCCCAGGCCCACTCAGCAGCGTGGAGGTGTGGGGGCCCCATGGTGAGTCAGCAGGGGCCCGACCCCCTCCCCAGGTCCTGAGTTCCCTGTGGCCTCACGGGACACGCTGAAGCCAAAGATGCCTCTGTGCTCCTGCAGGAGCCTCTTCAGCAGAGTACTTTTCCCAGCTCCTGATGGCCCACTCAGGACCACGGGCCGCGGTCCAGACATCCCTGTGGGCAAGGCACAGAGGTCAGGGAGCCCAGGGACCCTCCCAATGGGAGGGGGCTGGGGTGGCTACAGGATCCACCTCTGTCTGCATGACCACCCAGGAACCAGGCAGGGAGAGCTGAGGACAGACCTGCGCACCTCCTGATAGCAAGGTCTCCTTGATGGCAGACCAACCACAAACATGCAGCCTTCCTGGCCTGTGTCCCAACCCCACCCCTTGGGTAGCCTGGACTTTGGCTCCAGGGAGGGGCACATCTAGGTCCCCAGCCCTGTGTCTTTAAGCATCGCTCCCCAGAGGTGGCCTCAGTCAAGGTCAAGGGAAAGCATGCCCCATTCCAGGAACTTCCACTGGGAAGCTGGGAGCCAGCCCTGAGGGACCACAGCTTTCTGGCCCCTCCCTGATACTTGGGCCCTGTGGGGGGCAGGCAAGATCCTTCTCCAGCCCACAACTCAGGCACATATCACAGGTGAGAGCAAGAGGGGTGGGAAGGGACTCTGGGGCATCAGCCCACCCAGCTCTGTGCCTGTCCACCCCCACCCCAAGACCCACCTCCTGGGTGGGTTGCGGCTTCCTGCTCAGCTTGCAGCAGCTCCGGACAGGCTAGCAGGGGTGGTAATCCCTGCCTGTTCCTTGCTCCCAAGGGCATCCAGCCCTGCCTGCTGAGCCTGCCCGCCCAGCTACTGAGTGTGACAGGCCAGGAGGCCAGGAGCAAATGGGTTGCACAGGGAGACCCCTTGGGGAATGAGGCAAGCCTAGGCTCCCTGCACAGCCCGCCCGTACAGGGCTCTGCCTGGGGACCCCCAGCATGCCTCTGCTGGCTGGCCTAGGAAGAAGGGCTGCTCCGCCTGTGTATACCAGTGACTCAGCCCAGGAAGCCTACCAGCAGTACCCCTGGGCTGGCTACTGTCCTAATCCTCAATGCAAGAGAATAATCCTGCTAAAGTGTTACTATTCTGGGTCCACTGCACCAGTGCATGCACTCTGCAGAGACACAGGAGGAGACGGAGAGGTCATCTCTAGCCACCGTCCCAGCATTGCCCCCTCGCCAGGCTTCCAGTCCAAGCTCATCTAGGATGATCCATCTCTGACACACAGTGTAGCTCCCTCTTTCCCCCAGGGCCCCGGCTGTTGACCTTCAGGAAGTCCCTTCCTCCACTGGACCCTTGAGGGCAGCTCCGCCCACACCCCGGGTCTGTCCTGACCTCCAGGTGCTGAGGGACCAGGGTAGGAGAGCTGCATGGGTCAGAGGAGAGGCTGGTGGGCCTGGTAAAAAAAGGCCCAGGTGGCTGGCCACCACCACACTACCTGCTGCACTGCCTAGGTTCTCTCAGGACTCACAGAGATAGGGCAGGAGAATGTGCCCCTCCCACAGGTGGGGACTACCCTGAGCACTCAGCCAGGGTCCTGCCAGGCCTTGCTCACAGCAGCAAACCCTCAACCCAGTGGCACAGCTGGGCTCCTGGACCTCCAGGGAGAGGAGGACCAAAAGGGATCCTGCATCCCCGACCGGGGTGCACAGGGAGGTGCCTCTGTTCTTGGAGGTCCCTGCAGGATGTCTCCTGTCTGCCTGTGCAGAGGGACCTCGACATCCTATACCTCCAGCTATGAACCCTAAGGTTCCTGCCCTGTTCCCCACTCCCATGGGGAAGCCAGGACAGCAAAGGCACCAACCTCTAGAGACTGCAGACCCCCCCGCCCCCAGGGAGGACCCGTCCTCAGTAAGGACCAAGACCTTGCTCAGAAGGCCCAGCCCGACACCCCAGGGCCACACATTGGCTTCCATCCCTCCATCCTGTGGAGCTTAGGAGTGGAGGAGCCTGATGCACTCCATGGAGCCCACCCTGATGGGGACAGGCTACCTGGACCAGGCAGCAAGCAGAGGGGACACACTGCACAGGATAGGCTGTGGCCTGCCCAGCTTGGGACCAAGGCCAGCCTGTTCCTTCTAGCCCAGTATCCAGGCCCCCAAAGCTGGCTGTCCCTCTTGACTTTCCTCAGGGCCAAACCACTGGTGATGTGATGACATGGAGTATGGGACACCCCCCAGTACTGCCATCTCATGGTGGTGGGGTCCAGGCGGCTAGGCCTGGCTAGGGTGCCTGAGCCCCAAGCTGACTCCTGGGCCCAGGGAGTTGGCTCCCCACACAGGAGGGCTGGCCCATGCAACCATGTGGTGACATTGGGGACATGCCTCTTTCCAGCGACAGTGCTCACCAAAGCTGCCTCTGAGCACAGTGTGGGACAGAAGCCCAGCCTCGGGCTCAGGGACCAAGTGCCTGACTTTGGCTCTAGAGCCTGGTAGAATCCACCAGAAAGTGTGGAGGGACAGGTCACCCCTTTCAGGAAGGGAGCCCCAGCCAGGAAGCTCTGCTCTATATCCTCTATCCTGTGACTACTGGAGAACCCAAACTCCAGCTGCCTGGCAGGAGGCTATAAACTTCACAAGAGCTGCTGGAGGGCCCAGGAAGCAAGCCCCTGCACTACGAACCCTCTCCAGAATCTCTGGCAGCCAGACACTGTCCTCCACAAGCACTTCCTGCTCTGGAGGTGGAATCTCCTCCTTCCTCTGCCAGTTGCCTGCTGCCTCCCTTCCCAGACATCTAAACTGAGGAAGCCCCGCTTTCCAGTGGATGGGGCCAGTGAAGCAGCAGTCACATCTCTCCCCAAACAGGCCATGTTGGTAAGGATGAGCCTAGCCCCGGCCATGCCCCTGGGCTCTGTGTGGGACTTACCAGCCAAGCCACCTCGAGAAACCACTCAGCTTTTCAGAGCCTGGCTGGAAGTGGGACAGCCACAAAGCAGCTGGCATTTTCCTTCTCTCTTCCTCTCCCCACAGCAGGGCATGGACCAATCCTAACCTAGAGGAAGCCCCATGGTGGACAACTCCAGCAAGGGAAGGGTCCAGGGCACAGGAACAATGGAGAAGCAGAAGCCCAGGCCCTCCAGGGAGGAACAGCTTGACTCTCACAGAGGGGAAACCAAGGCCCGGGACACAGGACCAGGGAGGAATTGAAAGGGAAACAGGCCAGCACACCCAGGGCAAGGGAGGTCCCTGAACCTGACTGCAGAAGTGCCACCACAAAAGGCTTACCTTCAGTGACCTTCCCTCCTGGGGGCTGGGGTCGCCTCCTTCACCCCACCCACACCATAACAACCACTCCCTTCTCCCTTCCTACTCATCCTCAACCTGTAGCATTTCTCAGCTTCCCTGCATGAGATGGTGCTGATCTAGGTGTTAAGAAAACAGCCCCGAAGAGAAAGGCGAGTGTCTCACCGCTAAAGCGCCTGAATCTGCTACTCAAGGAAAGCTCTGGTCCTACTGCTTACAGCCAAATCCCAAGGACTTGGTCAGCGCATCCCAGGGACCTCTGTGAAAGCCCAGGCAGACTGCACCTATAGCAGTTGTGGCACCAACCTGGCCATGAGGTGCCTGACCTGTGCAGGCAGCTGTGTGGGTTCTTACAGAAGCAAAGGGACTGGTGCTCAGTTGGCAAAAACTCGGCCCCAGTGGTAGGTCAGGAGACCACGTGGTCCAGGGGGAGGGGGAAGGCCTTCGGGTCCCTCCCAAGTCATTCTTTGGCCTTCCCACCCCAAGACAAAATAGGACGACCTCACTGCTCTCAGGCGAATGTCCAATTGCAGAAGATGGGCAGCTCCAGTAAGCTAGATTCGCGGTTTCTGAAGCTCCTACCCCCCGCCTTTGCCAGCAACCTGCTCTTGACCGCAGGGTCGGTATCTGCACCGCCCAGCAGCTCCGGCGACCCAGGGCCCCGCTGGGTTTGCCATCTGGGGTAGTGACTGACTAAAGCCTACAGGTGAGCCACCAGGAGAGCTTCCCAACTGTTATCTCTGCCGCCCCACTGGAGTTGCGGGAAGATACCACCCTCTTCACAGCGCTCGCCAGCAGATGCTCTGCCCTCACAGGCTGGCAGGCGGCCCCCTTGAGGCAGAGCTCCCGGCTGTGCTGGAACTCCGCTCTGCCCCTCTGCATCCTGCACGGTCCACAGGGCAGCAGCGTGGCGTCGTCAGGTGCGTGGGGCCGAGCAGGGGACGCAGCTTTCAGTTTACCTGAGGAATGAGGACAACCGCCAGGACACGCCCACGCACGGCCGGACTTGGAAACGCGGGGCGCCTTTGGAGAAGTCAGCCTACTCCCGCTGAAGACGTCCGCTCTCCGCGAAGAGCCGCCGGACCTGGGCCTCTGGGGCCCGAGGACCCGCATGACCCGTCCACGTGCCCCGACGCGGGCGAGCCGTGGTGTCCCCGGGGGAAGAAGAGGGCTCCGCGCGAACGGCGCCTGCGCGTGGGACGGCGACGCTCGAGCCCCGACCGTCAAGAGGATGTCACTCACCGTCCGAAGGCACCCGGCCCAGGGCCGCCGCCACCAGCCCGGCCAGCGGGCGCCGCAACATGAGAGGCCGCCGCGGCCCGCGGGGTTCCTTCAGCGCCACCCTGGGCCCCCTCCGCCCAAGGGGCGAATGTCATAGCGCAGCGCCGCCTCCGCCCCGTTCCTCAGGGGCGTACGTCAGCGTCGCGCGACGCAGCGCCCACGGATGACGCCGGAGCAGCCGTGGCTGTGCGCGTGGTGACGTCTTATCCCGCTCCCGCAGGTCCTCGACCCGCTGCGGAGCTCGGTAGGTGGTAGGTTGGTCCCGTAAAGGCGCCGCGTCGCCCGTGCGGGAGGCTCCCTGCGCTTCGCGGTGCTGTGGTTCCAAGGCCCTCCGGAAGTAGACGACAGAGGCCCGGCCCGGCCAGAGGAGACACCAGGACAACGCTGCCCATCTCGGCCGGCGCGCGTTCCCGGGTGTGTGTGTGTGTCCGAGGTCTCAGGTTTTAGGCTCGGACACTCGGATTTGTAACCTCAGAAACCTCCGCACAGACTCTTCCCGGGGAGTCAGGGCTTAGTAAGAATAGCCCTGAACTTTGCAAACCCTACCACGCTGGGTTTTGTGAGATATGATCTTGCAAAACAGGTGTGAGCCCTTTTCCAGTTTACGTTTAACTCCGTTCTAGGAGGGTCTTCCGATTCTCTATTCCACGAGAATGGGCTTGTCCTGTTCTACACTTAAAGAGTCAGTCTTGGGAGTAGGAACTAGGCATCCGCTGTTCAGAAACCTTTTACGGGTGGTTCTAATGCCAGGTTAGGGCTGAAGACCTGATAGATTACCTGATAGGTGGAAACAAGCCTGTCCGAGGCAAACATGGGCCTGTGCCTCCTTCCTGGCTGGGATTTGAGGAGCATCAATTAGGTGAGGAAAGCCTGCCTTTCAAAAATACTTTTTATTTCTTTGTCCAGATCATCACACACCGGGCCAGGGGTGTGCCACAGGAAGAATGGCGGTTGTGGGCATCCTGCTAGGGTAAGTGTGGACTTCGAGACCCCTTGGGACCACTGTCATGGGGCCATCTGAGGGAATGCTCACTCAGGAAACCTCGCCTCTGGGCCTCCGGAGAAGGCCACTGGCCTTTCTGCTGTTCCACTTGCCCTTCCTCTCACCCCTTGCCTCCCTCCCAAGTAGTGTGATCAGTGTTGCTAGGAGAAAATGAATTCATGTTCTGAGTTGTTCCCTTGGGATCTGTGGAGAAGGTGGCAGGGGAAGTGGGGAGCCTCTGCAGCTGCAGTTCCTGGAAAGCCCTCATCTGGGGAATGGCTTACCTTGGAACATCTGCTGTCTTCTGGAGGGTGGGCATCAGCCCCTCCTGGATACCTCCACAGCCCACCGACCCCAAGCTCCCTGGTGCTGCTTAGGTCCCGGCCTTCCTGGATGAGTGCGGGCTCCTCCAGCCCTGGAGCACACCCTGTCTCCTTGCTGCCACCTCCATGCTGCTGAAGGCTGGTACTGGATTAATTCCACCAAAATTTACTGAGTGCTCAGCTGGGGACCTGGGACTTAACAGCAAATAAGAGGTTCTTGCTCCCCAGACATGAGTTTAGTGGAGGAGGTGGGTTCTTAGTGTGAGGTGTGAGCTGGGAACCCCCAAGGCAGGGCCACCGTGCTGGGGCTGTGCAGTCACAGGGCACTTGAGTGGGCTCCCTGTGGGACTGGGTGGGCAGCTGTGACTCTGCCTTTTATCCTGCAAGCAGTGAGCGGTTTTCAGAACCACCATCCACAGAGTAAGGCCACTCCTAGAGAACCCAACTCCTGGGAGTTCTGATGACTCTATAGACACATTCACCCAGAAGCCTGGGCCGTGGCAACAACCTTTAAGTCTGAATCCAAGTTTGCATGAGAGTCAGGCTGGAAGTGGCTTTGGGTGTCAGAGGCAAGGCTGGGAAGGGCAATCCCAGGGCCTGAGTGGGTGACATACAGCTGCAGGTCAATGCCGCCTGGTGGAGTAGCCTGAACAGGGTCCTGCCCCACCCTTTCCCTGCCCTGTGTGTTTGGAGGGGGCAGCAACCTGTCAGGAAGCTGGGTGGACTCCAGCTGTCTTGATCCGATTGGGCTGCCATAACAGGGCCACAGGCAGACAGGCTTATTTCCTATAGCCTTGGAGACTGGAAGTCTGAGACCAGGGTGCCTACAAGGTCAGACCTCCTGTGGCTTGCAGACAGCTGTTCCTCACTGTTACCTCATGGGAGAGAAGTGTGGTCTCTTCCTATAAGGATACCAGTTCTCATCCTCACGACCTTACCTAACCACAGACACCATCTCGTGGGGGTTAGGGCTTTCCCATGTGAATTGGGAGTCAGGGCACAGATGTTTAATTCTTAATACTAGGATGCCCACCTCTGTTCTGGACAAAAAGCAGGGGCAGCTCTGACCATGTCCTTCTTGGATGTGGGTCACCATGTGCCACCATAGGAGCTGGCTGGGCAGGCCGCTGACCAGCGTGTGAGTGCCTGTGTGTTTACAGCCTGCTGAGGCAGCGTGTGGGGATGGGGACCGCCTCTGAGGGATGCCAACTGCACACATCCTCCCGGTGGTCTAACAGCAGCAGAGCGTTGCTCACGCGTGTGCACCGGCAGGCCTATGCTCGCCTCTACCCAGTGCTCCTGGTCAAGCAGGATGGCTCCACCATCCACATCCGCTACTGGGAGCCACGGCGGATGCTGCAGGTACACTCCGTTCCTCCTCACTTCCCTGGTGCATGGGGCCAGCGTCCACCCCATGTTAATTGCTCTGCCAGGGAATGTGGGCTCTGAGCTGCTGCAGCTCAGCAGGGAAGGGAGAACCAACTTAAACTGCATGGTACAGCAGAGGATGAAGTAGACCCAGAAAGCCCTATGTGCACCTGCCCTCTCTGCAGATGCCTGTGGACCTGGATACCCTATCCCCAGAGGAGAGGCGGGTACGGCTCCGCAAACGTGAGGCCCAGCTCAGGAAGAAGGAAGAGAGGCCAGAGCTGGGCGATGACTTTGACATTGGGCAGTACAAACAGTTTTGGACCAAGAAGTGACCTTGCCTGGAAGCTGTTCTGGCCCAGGATACTGGAGGGGGGGGGCAGGTCTATAAATGGTTATGTTTAGGAAGTTGCCTCCACCCTGCCTGTCCTGTGCCTCAACCTGGAGGGAACTTCTGTAACAACTTACCAAGGGCTGAGTTGTGTCAAGTTATTGGGAACACCAAACCGAGGTCTTGGGCCATCCTGGGGCAGCCTCTCTTCCCAGCCTGCTGTCCACTATGGGCCCAGCCGTTGGGCACCTGCTTACAAACCTGCTCTATGCTTGTAGAGCACTGCCACACAGATGGTGGGGGTGACCCTGCATCTGATGGTGGCTCTTGAGGGACGGCCTGTGTTGAGCGCCCAACCCCAGACTCCTTGAGCAGCTCTGACCCTGTTCGCTGACCAGACTGGCCATGCACTGACACATGGGTATGTCTGTGGTGTCTATGTGCTGTCCTTCCAGCTTCTGCCCCTGCTTCCCTGTGGGAAACACCCAACAGTGTTTTCTGTACTTGCTGTTCAGGCCAGGTCATCATGAGGCTTGTGGAAGGCAGCAAGGCCCCCCACCTAGGGCCAGTGCTGGAGCGGTGGAGGCCATATGCCAGTGGGAACCAGGAGCCCCACAAAATGCCCACAGTTGGGTCTGCCCATGGCAACAGCCAGGGCTCTTGCCAGGCTTGGTTGGAGGGCCCTGTGAGCTAATTGGGCTGGCAGATAATCCTGCCGGCGCCAGCTCCTCAGACGTCCCCACCTACACAGGCCTCCTTTCCCATCCCTTCAGCCACTTTGAGACTTCAAGCACCATCTAGGCTGATGACCCCGGACCCACACTGGGGGTAGCTGCTGACATGTTGAAGCAAGCACACTTTGCCGACCTTGCCTTTCCCCAGCATCTGGTCCTTGTCCAACGTGGCAGCACTGCCTCAAGACTACTGAGCCCCCAAAGCTGCCCCTGGGACACCTGCCACTCCATGCTCCCCCCAACGAGGTGACCCGAGGTGCCTTCCTGAGCTGAGACCTTGAAGAGGACACGCCTATAGTTTAGGGCTTAGTGTGCCATGCTGGAGGACCCTGCATAGCCAGGACCCAGGGGAAGCTTTGCTGTTAAGGCCTCTTGGCTCAAAGACGACTTAGCAGTGGTGCGCTACAGGGCCAGGCTCAATCGCAGTAATGACTACCACTGTCGGGAACTCCGAAACCCCAAAGAATTAAGTGAAGGTGTTGGAGGAGGTGTCATAGGAGAGCCAGGCCAAAGGCTCCTCCCTCCCTGATGCCGCCAGCTGGTGGGGCGCGCGGCCCGCTTACCAGTGACCGAGGACACGCTGGGCTTTCACCCGGTATAGCTGGTCCACGGGGCGCGTCCATCCGCTCCCCATGACCAGAGGCAAACTGGCAGGGCAGCGCGCTAACGACTCGTCGGGACACCCAGACTCTGATCCCGACACTGGCCGCTGCCGGAACCACACCTGCTTCCGGGACGCTCGCGCCTTAATTGGCACGTGATGGCCAGGACCATAGCGCTCTTGGACACTGCCCCAAGTGTCCTCCGAGGGCACCGGCCCCGGTTCCTGACATCCCTCACACAATGGGACCTCTAATAACGGCCGGCGCGCAGGCCCAGGTCCAGGGCCTTCTCCGTGCCATCCTCGGGCCAGGGAGCAGAGCTCAGGCACAAGGGGCGGGAGATCGGGCGGAGCGTAGGTACAAGAGCTAAGGATTGAGAAGAGCAGTACGCAGGCGCACGCGGCTAAGCGGTTGTCGTCACGATGCGCGACGCAGGAGCTGGAGCGGACGCAAGGGCAGCTGGGATCCTGGGGGCGCCGGGGGCCGCAGGCGGCCTAGCACCATGTTCGGATCCAGCAGGGGCGGCGTGCGCGGCGGGCAGGACCAGTTCAACTGGGAGGACGTGAAGACCGACAAGCAGAGGGAGAACTACCTGGGTGAGCACGGTGCGGGGGTCGGTCTGGGCACGCGAGCTTGGGGGCTGGGAGCGAACCGAGCCGCGACCAGGACTCGCGCTCCGTCCCGCAGGCAACTCACTGATGGCCCCAGTGGGCCGTTGGCAGAAGGGCCGTGACCTTACTTGGTATGCCAAGGGCCGGGAGAACGGCGCGGGGCTAAGCCGCGAGCAGGAGCTGGCTGCCGTGAGGCTGGCAGAGCAAGAGGCTCTCATGGCGGCGCTGTGAGTGCGCGCGGGGGACGGGGACCGACGTCGGGGATGGAGCATGGGGCACGGTCTGGGTACCTGGGCGGGGGTCGGGGACGGAGGACGGAGCTCCGGGGACAGGCGAGGGGATCCGGGAGCGGGCGCGCCCGGCTGCTCCCTGAAGCTGGCGGGGGCCCTGCAGGGGCTACAAGAACGTGAAGAAGCAGCCCACCGGCCTGAGCAAGGAGGTGAGGGGCAGATGGTCCCGGGGGGCGGGGGTGGGCTGACCCCGCGCTGCTGCGAGCGCCGCCCCCGCTCTCCTACAGGACTTTGTGGAGGTCTGTAAACGGGAAGGCGGGGACCCTGAGGACAGGGGAGTGGAGCGGCTTCTGGGTCTGGGGAGCTCCAGGTGAGGGGGCCCCAGGGCGGGAGGGGGTAGGGCCTCACCCCGGGGCGGGGCCTCACCCGCTGCGTTTCCGCAGTGGCTCGGTAGGCCGAATGGCGCTGTCCCGAGAAGACAAGGAAGCCGCTAAGCTGGGGCTCTCCGTGTTCACGGTAAGAACGGACCCCCGGGCTGGGGTGCCCCTTTCTGAGGGCTGGTATCCTAGACACGCGGGCGCTTGGGCGCCGCGCACGCCCCCAGAGCACCTTTCCTCAGCAGCACCAGCGCACGGAGAGCGGTGTGCCCGGGATTACCCCGGCTTCCGCCAGGAAAAAGCCACGGGAGGAGAAAGTGGAGCCAGGGTAAGGGCCTGGACGTCTGGAAAAGGCTCAAGCTGGGAGGGCCACCCCTGGGGAAACCCGATCCCCATGGCTTGTGGCATTGTTATCCCGCAGCCCTGAGAGCCACAAGAAGAGCAGGAAGGAGAAGAAGAAACACAAGGAGAAGAGAAAAGAACGGGCACACAGGAGGGCAGTCCCCTCTCCAGGCCCTGCTTCCTCTGGGTAGGCCCCCCCTCATCCAGTACTCTGCCCTGTAGGCACATGCCAGACGGCTCTCTCACTGCCCCATGCGCCCCGTTTCTGTCTCCTCTGCAGGCACTGCTCTGGCTCTCCGCTCTGCAGCCAGAAGCAGCCCAGGCATGACAGTGACTGAGCCCAACCCCTGGTCCTCCACTTCCGTTTCCCTTCGTGTCACTTCCTCCTTGTACTTACATAAACTCCTTTCAAGTAGAGCATGTCTTACACTAAAGGGAAGGTCGCTGTCACGTGGAAACAGGAGCAGCACTGTCCTGGGGAAGTCCCAGGCTGCTGCAGGGAGCAGACCTCTGAGTTCTGGGGTGGGCTTGCACCTGGGGCACCCCTGAAGGGACTTAGGCCTCAGCATCTGCCTGGGCTGCATCTGTTATTGCAAAGGCTTTTTTTTGCTTCTAATTAAAAGAGAAAAATGATGTATTCAGAGCCTTGGTCTGGCCTAGTGCAGGGTGGGACTCCTATATGGGTGGCCTGGACATGGATGTCACATCCGGCTAGGAGCAGGGGCCCCCTGGCAAAGGGCTCCTGGGGTAGCTTTGAAGCTCTACCAGGTCGCACCCTCCTGGGGGTGCCACTAAGTGAATGTGAGTAAGGGTGGGGTCCTACACATGACCAATGGTCCTGGTCCCTTGGGTACACCACCCCAGGTAGTGACCCTGCGGTCCCTCTCATGGCCAGGCATCTCTAGCAGGGAGCCCAATGAGGTAGTCACTGCAATGACCCTGGGACACATGAGGGGGGGTGGGGGAGTCTTGGCACCCAAACACTGGAAAACCATGAAATGGTAAGATTTTATTCTGACAGCTATTAATTACAGTGCTCATCTGTCGAAATGAAAACTGAACACAAGTATACAAACAGTTGATTACTAATTGTGTATTGAAAGCAGTAAAGGTTCCACAACACCAAATATACCAGTTCTGAGTTTCCCCAAGGTAAAGTTTAACAGCGCCAGCTTCTTCAGTGTTTATCAAAATACAAAAGAAAAAGAGGTGGTGTTTCGATGGCAAGTCTGACCCTTGCAGGCTGAGGGGTTGAAAGCACGTGTAGATGGGCTGCCCTGCTGCCCATGCTCCTGCTGGTGAGGCCCCTGCTCACATGTGAGCATCTCATCCAGAGCTCCAGGCGCCTTCAGGGGCCCGCGCCCCGGGCGGCCACATGAGCATAAGCACAAAGGCCATGGGATGCAGTGACCCGGGCACAAATCAGGGGTCCCACTGTGACTATGCAGGGGCCAGGCCACTCCACCCCAAGTCCCAATGGAGCAGAGGCCACTGCAGAACCCAAGCGAGGTACACTGCTCCCTTCTGAGTGTCAAGTGTTTGTGACTATTTTTAAAAACACATGGAGTTTGGGTTAAAAACCAACCTCCGAGATGGAGCTGCACAGATTTAAAGCCTAGAGGGGGGCACTGCCTGTGGGAGGCCCCAGTGTCTGCCATCCTTTTCAGTACTCAATAGTGGGTTGATTTTCTTTTTACAATAAAAAAAGCTGAGTAATATTGCATAGGAGTACCAGAAACTGCCACGTTGGAAACAGAACTATTTACATTAAATAAAAACCCGGCTGCAGGCTGCGTCTGCACATTTACAGCATGTGAAGCACACTGACCACCAGGGGCAGCTTCTGGCACTCTCCCCCTCCCATGCCCCCTCAGGGGAGAGAAGGCAGGGTGGGGCGCAGCATGCTCACTTCTGGTTCCGCAGCTGATTGGACAGCCAGTCCAGCCCCTCATAGAGCCCATCCCCGCTGGTGGCGCAGGTGGCCTGAATGTACCAGTTCCTGTGGCGCAGAGAGTGCAGGCCCAGCTTGTCTGTGATCTCAGCAGCGTTCATGGCATTGGGGAGGTCCTGGGGGAGCATGGCAGGCACGGTCAGTGGGAAGGCAGGCGCAGACATCCCCCCTCAATCCCATCCCAGGCGCATACCTGCTTGTTGGCGAATACCAGCAGGACTGCGTCCCTGAGCTCATCCTCTGCCAGCATCCTCATGAGCTCTTCACGGGCCTCGTTGACACGCTCTCTGTCGTTGCTATCGACCACAAAGATGAGCCCTGCAGGGTGCAGGGATTAATGCCATTAAGGCTGGATTGGGGGTGGGGTGGGGGCACCTTGCCCCTGGCCAGCGCTGCTCACCTTGTGTGTTCTGGAAGTAGTGGCGCCACAGAGGCCGGATCTTGTCCTGGCCACCCACATCCCACACAGTGAAACTGATGTTCTTGTACTCCACTGTCTCCACGTTGAAGCCTGCAGGAGCACCAGTTGGCATGAGCCCCTGCTGGAGCCCTGTCCAGCCCCCAGCCATCCCCGGCCCTCACCTATAGTGGGGATGGTGGTCACAATCTCTCCCAGCTTCAGTTTGTAAAGGATGGTGGTCTTCCCAGCAGCATCCAAGCCCACCATCAGAATGCGCATTTCTTTTTTGCCGAAGAGGCCCTTGAAGAGGTTGGCAAAGATGTTCCCCATGCTATTGTCCGGTGGGCAGCACTGGACAGAGAAACCTGCAGAAACAGAGTCTGTGGGTCTACTCCTATGCCCCCAGAGCTGTGGGTGCACAGCAGCCTGGAGAGCACCCATCCATCACAGGTGGCCCACCTTGCCCTGAAAACATACTACAGGGCAGAAGAAATCTCAGAACAGAGCAAAAGGAGGGATGCTGTCTGCCTGGCCACTCAAGCTCCAAGAAGTCCTGGAAAGGGAGGGTCTGGGAATCTTTGGAACAAGGCTGACTGCATTTGAGGCAGCAGCTGCCATCTCTCAGGAGGAGATGCCCAAGGCCACACGGCAACTTGCCACTGCCACGGTGGGAAGCGACTTCCGACATAGTAAGAAGGGAAGTGTGCCATTGACAGCTGTGGCTTTCAAACAAATGCTGCATCCTCCAGGTCTACCCGGGAGCATTCAAGGGGCCCTGTGTCTCCCAAGGGCCTCACAAAGTACAATGCGGCCCAAGCTCAAGTCTGGTGCTCAGACAACTAGGAGTCCCTCACCCAGGCCATGTTCCCACCAGAGGTTGCCAACATGCACAGGGCTTAGCCCTCACCCCAGGGCCTGGGTCCAAGGGCAAGAAATGTGATGGTGCAGGGGAGCTTTCCAGGCAGATACCTCCCCTAGTTGCAGTCTGCCCAAAGGGGAGGCAGCCTGTGCACTAAGAGCAGGCACACCAGGACTTCACTGAGTGGGCTGGGACCTAAGGTCAGCAGGGTGGCAGGGACAGGAAGATCACAACGGTGAGAGGGTGGGTGGGGCTGCAGAGTGGCCCAGGCCTGGCCTCTCTGTGCTGCAGCACCTTCATTCTCCAACTGCGTTGTTTGCAGACAAGGTCAAGCAGCAGGGGCAGGGAAAGGTGGGTATGGGTCACAGACACATCCGTGCTCCAGGCAGTGCATTAGGTGGGGAAGGAATCATGAGCTCTGTGGTCCTTGGGCCCACCTGGTGGGTCAGTAGCTGTGCCCCAGCCAGCAGCAAGCACCAGAAATGTGTGCTCCACCACTTCTCAGCCCTGCACCCTTCCTCAGCATCTACTGGGGTGGGTCCCTCTTCCTATCAGTAGAGCTCCACTGTGTGTAGAAGCTGCCCTTCTTCCTGAGTGGTGATGGCGCAGGGTACACACCTTATACCCCTGTGCCTTGCAGTGCTTTGGACACATTTTGATTTGAACAAGAACTCAAGAAATTACATTTTAAAACACACACTCTTCAAAATCAATACCAGTGAGGAAGTAAAGCAATCCTGGACTGGGTGGGGGCAGGTAGGGCCTCACCATCCTCAGCTCTGCAGGGGAGGACAGGATCCTCTGGGAGCTGCTGAACAAGTGGTAAGTGTGGGTACACTCAGAGACGTGGCACACTCGACAGGGAAGCAGGTATAAACTGCCCAGAGACCCCAGGCCCCATGGCCAGGACCTACTGATGCCTGCACCCAGAGGCCCCCAAAACAGTCACACCTCATCTCCCTTTCAGAGGCCCCCAAAAACTTTTGTTTTGGGAGAGACCAAAACAAAAAAGGAACCTGGAAGAAAGACATAAGACTATTTAAAAAAGCAAAACAGTAAAAAACAACCCCCCACCCCAGCCCCACACACAGCCCCAGCATCAAAAAGGTGGGGCCCTGGTGCCCACAAAACATGAGCCAGGGCATCAGAACACAGGAAAAGGAACCTGACAGACCCAACAGCCAAACTGAGATCCACAAACATGGGGGAAAAAAGGAAAACTAGCAGCAGTTTAAAAGATCAACATCTAGCTTGGGTATGGTAATGTCATTTTAGGTAGAAACCAAAGACAATCCATGAAAGCAGCAACAGGGAAGCTGGACTTCTGCTCTGGGAGACAATGCCGGAGAACATGAACCAGACAGGAGAAAGCATTTGCCAGGCACCTCAGGGAGATGTCCATCAAGCCAGGAGACACACCACACCGCAGACTCGGAGAACGGCCACACCCACCATGGATGCAGTGTTGCTGGACTGTGGCAGGGAGCTCCTGCTCTCTGGCAGTGGTGATGCAGCACCACAAGCTGCTTCTTACAAAGCTAAACACACTTTCTCACCAGATGTCTGGCAGCTGTGCTCCTTGGTGCCCACGCAGAGGAGGGGACAGGCCCACACGGAAACCCACACACATCTCACAACAGCTCTGCTCACCACCACCAGCAGTGGAAGCAGCCCAGATGTCCTCCAGTGAGCAGTGTGTAAAAGGACAGTGGGACATCCAGACAAGGTGACATTTTCCCACTGAGAAACTGGGCTACTGAGCCATGAAAAGACAAGGGACCTTAGTACACATCACGAAACACAAGCACCCAGTCAGAGAAAGCTGCGTTCTGTATTATTCCAGCCGCGACATTCTGGGAAAGGAGAGCCCGCAGAGACATTCGGGAGACCTAGGGTGCCAGGGATTGGGAAGGGAGGGAGACCAGACAGTGCCCAGGGCATTTTCAGGGAAGTGACACTACGCTGTGAGACTGCAATGAACTCTTATCCAAACCACAGGTCACAGCCCACGGGACAACCTTAACGTGTCTGGTGGACTCTGGGCCCACCAGCTGGAACAGAAGCACTACCTGTGGGTGTGGAGAGCCAGGGAGCTGTGTGTGCAGGAAATCTCTGCAAACAATCTTCCCATCAATTATGCTGTGAACCTAACACTGCTCCACAAAGGTGAAGTTTCAAAAATAAAAAAAAGGGAAAAGGACAAAAAACAATCATCTAATAGAAATTCCAAATATGAAGAACTCAGAAAATTATAGGGAGAAAATTCTTAAATGTTCCAGAACAGAAACCTCCAGGCTGAAGGGGACTGGGTTATGAACACCAGACTGCAGAGACCCACCCACCTGAGAGGACCAGAAGTCAAAGTGATGCTTGAAACCAGTACCAACACAGCCACACATCATCCAGGCAAGGCCCTTGCCACAGGCACAAGGCTGCCATGGGCAGGGAGCCCCTGGCAGCAGAGGGGGACACTGGCCCAGCAGCCAGCCCAGATGGAGCAGGAAGGTAGAGAGTTCCAGGAAAAAGTGAACTGGGAAAACTGATAGACAAATAGGAGTAGGGCATTTTCACAAGTCCTGTGGGACATGCAAGCCAGTCACCAGGTGGCTCAGTGGTGAATGGCATTTACTGTGACTGCTGCTGCTGGGTGTGGAGGTCTGAGCTTGTGGTGTCAGGGCCCCCTCACCATCCAAAGCTGACAAACTGAGGAATGCTGGCAGCAGGCTAACCTCAGGACTTGGAGGAAGGGGCTATACAGCAGGGCTGCGTGGAGGCATGCTCTTGTTCTGGTTTCCACGTTCATGCAAATGGAGCACTGTGATGCCAGCACCCGCAGCCCCAGCCTGCCTGTGGTCGCCCCTGGCTTGCCTCAGCCCTGCCAAGCCCTGATTACCAATGTGGCCCCCCCTCAGTTCAACAACAAAGTCCTGGAGCCCTCAATGGGGAAGGGACCACATATTTAGTGGAAGTACATCTGGGGTTTAAGACGTGAACCCAGCTCCTGCTTTCCCACCTTATGAGCACCTACACTAGCCCTGCCCCCAGCACTATGTGCTATTGTCAGAGGTCCAACATCTATCTTAGGGGTGTTCAACAGTAACATCAGGATACTTTCTGGGGTACTCCACACAGGTTCTAATGTGACGTCCAGCCTGGGTGTGAGCTGACACTCTCCTCCACTGAAATCCCTCATAACTCAAGTCAAAACATGCCTTTCAGGGTCACAGTAACAACCCCGCAGGTTAGTGAGCAGAAGACCAGATCCATAATGAACACACTCTCCCTTTGATCGGCAACAGGAACACCAGGGTGGCAATTCAGCACTAAAGCAAAGAACTCGGTGGACTATCCTCATATGCCGAGGTCTACCTAGCTACAGGCGAAGGCGAACAACAGGGCCTCCCCAGGGAAAAGCCAGTCTGATGGAAGAAAGCATAGCTCTGTTCACACCCATCCACTCCAGGAAGTGAACCCAACTTAGTGCCTGGCTTATCTCCTGAGCAGAAATGCACGTCTCAGTACCCTCTCTCTGCCCCCTCTGCTCCGCCTTGGTGGTTTTGGGGCACACTGGACAGCCTGGCTTGAGTTGGCCAGAGTGGTGCAGCTGGCTCTGCAGAAAGAAAGGTGGCCATGTCACCAGCCCAGTAGCAGGGGGCTCAAACGATGAACCCCTACTGGGGTACAGCAGGTGACACCAGACTATTCCTGCCCCTTTGAACCAAGTTTACTGAAGCATAGTTACGTACAGGGAATGCACAGCTCACTTATAATCTGTTTTAACATCTAGTTGGAGAAAAGCGCAGCACAGGCTTCTCTGAGAAGGGACATGTGTTCTGAAATGCTTTCCTCAAGGCTTTCATTGACAACTGCCTCCAGCAGAGCACGTACCTCGTGATAGGCCTTGGACACTGAACCTACCCTTCCCCGGCCATGGGACCTTCCTCCCAAGGGGCCCACTTGGATGCAGCACATCAGCTAACAGCCTCAGCCCCACCCTGCCTGTCACCTCTACAGCTCTGATACCCCTCACCAGCGATCCACTGTTTTATGATGATTTAGTGGAAGAGGGAAACAGAATATGCCAATGCTAACTAACTGCTGTGGGAAAGACTCTGTGACAAAGGTGTGATGCTGCCACATGCCTGAGGGCACGCAGCTCCATGCGCCCACACTCAGCAACCTAGCCCAGTTGACTGGACTTGCCTTTCCCACCAGGTCACTGACACCAGTTTACAGCACATCCTCACTGTATCTGACCATGTGCTCTCTGCATACATGCACTGTGTCCAGTAGATACCCACATCCCACCTCTCTATGTTTCTCTCATCAGAAGAACTGACAGGATCTCCTCCTTAGCAACCTTCACACGCAAAAGGCAGTGTCAAATACAGTTGCCATGCTGTGACTTACATAAAGACACAGGACTTACTGTCTCAGAACTGAAGCCTGTGTTCTCAGCCCACCACCCCAACCTCTTCATACTCCAGAAATGTCTCACTCTGGTCC